ACGATGCATCCACATGGGACTCTGCAAGAAGTATGGTCTGAAAGCATTTTCGCGCTTGCGAAGCCATTCTGTACAGGAGATCGTCACGAATGAGAATGTTGAGATCAGAGTCGATACGCAAGTGAGAACTGCAATCAGAATAAAAGCGGATAGACCGGATATCATGATACACAATAAGAAGCGACGTGAAGTATTCCTGCTTCAGATTGGCATCACTAGTCAGGACAGGTTAACAGCAGTCAAGACCGAGTAAAAGAGAAGATATGATCTACTTGCTAATAAGCTTGGGTCAGAGATGAAATGCAGGACCAAATTAATTCCGTAATGACTTGGGATGGAATTGTAAGGAACTTCCAAAACGCCTATGCGAAGGAGATCAGTATATCAGACCACGTCGAGGCATACATCCAGTCGATAGTTCTCAAGAAGACGCTTGAAAGCATCTCCTTCGACAGTCGATATGGATTCCACGAGGACGAAGCGAGAACGATGAGCACAACAAATCTGCGTGCAGGACAAGTACAGCCAGAGTGCTGGAATGCGACCCAAAGCCAGAATCAATAAAGCGAAATTTAGTTCCACATTTTTTTTTCTTATATTTATATAATTATGTGAAAGCCTGAAACTATTCATAATATCTCCAAAAACAGCGCATGTATGTGCATCATGATTGTGTATGCAAAGTTTCCTTGCTGTTACAACTAAAGTTAAAACTTACTGTCACCACTGAAAAGTTAAAAAGTTTTTATCAGTGAAAAAAAATGCAAAGGACAACGTAGTCAATTCTCCATACTAATTTGCACAATTTTTTTTTCTCAAGAGAAAAGCAAAAATCACCCTATCATATTGACTTTCAATTTCATGTGCAGTTGGCAAATCGCAGGCAGTCCATCTGCAAAAACTTCTAAAGAATATTCAATTCCAAATTTAGCCTGGTTGGAAAAATGATTTCAGAAACTTGAAAACCGAATCAAGCGAAGAATAAAATTGCTTTGAGGAGGAAAAATTTCATTTAACTTCCCTTGAGAATCAATTCTGGCTTCATTCCTTATAACTTCAATTCAATCAATACTGAATAAAACATGTGCAAATCCCTTAAGATAAACTGGCAAAGGAAATTTCCTAAAATCTCATGCAGTTGCACATGATCTGTCAAAACTTCCATATTTATTTTATCATTATGTATAGATAGATAGATAATCAAGCTGATCATAAATTAATGGCATCTGTGATTCTAGAATTAAATCACGTTCTTTCATCAAAACTAGTAAGTTTATTTCACAGGATTTGAGAGGGCATGCTTATTTATATTTCGTTATATCTTGCTATTAATAATTATTCATAAAAGTTGAAAACCATCCGCAAGAGCTGCATTTACAAAACATGCATCTTGCATATGTGGAAATTTTCACACAATTTTCATTGTGATAAAAAGCCGAAAAAATATTTTGATACGACTGCGTATAAACAAATTTTTGAAATCATAAGAACATCAAATACGGCCAAATTTCATCAAAAATTTTTTATAGTTTGATGTGCCACAATGTTTGTAATAGTTTATGATGAAGTTAATCTTATGAGTAAAAAATTACTCACTGCTCAATAACTGAACTTGATCATGATAATCGAAAAAAAGGTATTTGAGACAATTTGATGATCTACATAAAAAATTATGCTTCATGAGTCTAAGCTTAGTTTCATGAGCATATTTCTGTCCGTATTTAACTGAAATGATTACATAAAATGCAATTATTGAATTAAATGAATAAACATGTATGAACTCCAGTTCGTCTGAAATATGAAACGTAAAAACAGTGCTTTATTGACAAATAAAATGAATAATTATTTGTCGTTTTCAGCGTAGTAACATAAAACATAAAAGGTAGTATGAAGTTACCAAAATTGTTTGAGTAGCGTGAGAGGATTTTTGAGAGGGAAATTCTGGATCAAAAAAGAACTTGCGAGATGATAATCTCATTTTATTAACATCTTCCCTTTCATTTTAATCTTGCTTGCTTGTATCTCTTCATCTACCTTGTTTTTTATGTAAGCAATTGAAAGTTATGTCCATGCAAATTAGCTTTAAAAAAATGAAGCACAAGTTCTGCGTTTCCATCTGCTTTAAGCCTTTAGACGCCTTCAGGCTAGGCAAGCTTCACACAGAAAACTCCTTTGGGAAATTTGCTAAAAGAGTTCTTGTTCCCTTATTTCTCGTACTTCTTTCTTGTTAGACTACTCTTTGGCATTCTCAAACTTTCCTATCTTAATTTAAAAGTTCACTAACTGACCTTCAGTAGGATAATTAACAAATTTAGTCATATAAACTTTAAATAAACCTATTATAAAACAAGAAAAACAAGTTCAGACACAAAACTATTTATTTTTACCCTCCAAAAATGAAATCAGAAGAAAAATATTCAAACCGTCTTGAATGATGCTATAAAAGAGAATAAATTAGCTATTTAATTATAAGGAGATCTTTGTTTTTACATTTAATTTTTACACATCGAAACTGAATGGTCAGAAAATGATAAAGCATTCAAAATTAGAGGTAACAAACCTTCGTAAGCAGCATGTTTTGTGGAAAAGGTATCTACAGGGCGATAGCGCTGCTGTATTCCTTGCGCGGTTGAGCAAGCTCAAAAAAACAAACTCGTTAGAAATATATAAATAGATAATTAACTCGCAAAACTTTGAGTAGATAAATAGAAAAGCGTAGGTTTTTTCAAATTTTTTGAAGGAAGATAATATTGTTTTAAATCAATGAAATGTGATAAACTAATGTATGTAAAATGAAAACGTCACGGTTGTAAGAAATTAAAGTATTACTCGATTTGTCAGCATTCATAGGACAAAATGAAAGATTTTTACAAAGGCACATCGTCAGAACGACTAATACCATAAGTGTACCTACTACGCCAATTACGATCAAAGCGAGGTAGCTGAAACATAGATAAAATCAAGTTTGAAGATCATCGTTAAATTACATTTCACATTTAGAGACATTTTAAGTGTAAAAATAAAATCAGAAAGACATTCTCTCTACGTTTACAGTGAAAATGACCTTATAATCTGCAATAATGAAAATTGTTTTGAAAAATATTTGTCTACAAAATTAATGGTGAGAACTTGAGAGCATACTATAATAAATAATGGACTTGAATGGGAATAATACTAGTTAACAATATCACACGTGAACTCCCTTTGTTTTGATCAAATTTCTCCCACTCCCTTTAAACTGCTTAATGGCTTCAGTTAAAACTCAATCAAGTTTATAGGTGGAATAAAATTTGGAAAAACTCGCTGAAGTAGAAGAAACAGAAAGAGAAACTTGACTCAATTTCATATCTATGACAATTATTCTAAACCAAGAATAAGCTGAGCACTAGATATTTTACAATTTTTGCTTTCAAGTGAATAAGAGAAATTTTTTGGCTTGTTATAAAAAATCTTTCACCGAAACCTCATAATACGAAACTAGAAAAATTTTATTAGAGTCAAATAATTCTTTATGCGTTAAATTATTCATATGAAGACAACTGAATTTCCAATGATCATTTCATGGTTAGACTGCTGCTCGAAACAAGTTTTAGTTTGTCTCTATTAATTTTTATAAGTGTTATGCGTTAGTTTTGCTTCAGTTGAAAAGTACTGCTCAACGCTTTGCTTAATTAAAAACTAAAAATTAAGAATAAATTAAATATGGAAGCAGATGAGATAGTGATAACATAAATTTTCGAAAATTTGTGGTCTTACTATGATGGGTATAATATCATTTCTTAACAAAAGACCTCACAACATCATTCGGCAATTTTTGACATTAATAAAGCAGTCCAATATTACCACGTATATTTTAACATTACTCCCACCTTTTCGTAATTATTTGACGCACAATTTAATAAGCACTGTTTTATATTTGTCACACTGTTATAGTTATTAGCATCTATTTTCTACTAAAAGCAAATAAATACTGTTCTAATCATTATTAATAAATGTGGCATAATTTCATTGTTGAGTATTTATCTCTTAATATCACCAACTCATTTTAATTCCTGAACATCATTTTACTTAGATTAAAATTGATAATTTATATAGACACTACACAATATATATAATCTGTGTCCACTTCAAATGAATGAATTCTCTTAACTAATTACCACACACTATTGACAGCTATTGTTTTTTGATCTAAGCTTAATAAAGATCAAACAATAATGATGATAAGGAAGAAAATTAACATATCACAGAATCTTTTAAACACATCCAATTCAGATTATAGATACTTAACAGCTATTCTTATCTTAAAAAAACTTAAGCCTAATGCTTCCGTCTTCTTGCATCCAAGTGATATAAAGAAATTAAAAATTCGTCCTTCCATTCATTTTTGAAAACTTCAAGAAAACCAACTTATATTGGAAAACACGAAGATTATCATAGAGCCACTTACTTTTTCATCAAATGAAAATAGAAAGCTTCATCCCTAACAGATACTAATTTAGGTCTTTTTTGTGTCCTTAAGTCATTCAAATTAACTTCCTCAGAACAAATATTAATTTCAGATTATAGATAAACATAATACGAAGGTAAAGGATTGAAAAATTGATTTTATATTACACAATGATGCCTAATGGAGAAAAAAGGAAATAATTTGAATTAAATCAATGACTTGAAAGTAATGATTTATGAAGCTACGGAAATAGCAAATGCTCAAATTTAAAGTGAATTGAAAAACACGTAATGTCACAATTAAAAATAATCATACAAAGCAAGTTATTACAGTCAGTTAATTATAATGCTTGCTGATGATCTAAATGAAAATGACTGGTTTGGAGAGTGAAAAATAGTATATTTTAAGCCTTAAGTCTATCAGACATTACCAAAATAGTCGTATACAGCTTTCTGAAAATCAAGTGCACAATCTAAGCTAATACGATAAAAATTTAAAGTATTGGACAACTACTCTGTCATTATTGGAAAAACAATAGTAGAGTATTTATTAGACAAATACTTCCTTCACAGCAGTAAAATGAAGAGTGTGATTGAAAAATCAGTAAATGATGATTGCTAATCCTTTATACGTTTGCATGAATTCAATTCCTTGCAATACCAAATTTTCCTATTTCTTGACAAACAGTTTACAGTGAAATAAAACATGGAAATTAAACGACAGATTTCCTATGACTTCCTTCTGTGACACACAAATGAGCAAAATCCATATCAAACGCTTCACTAACTTTAACTAAAAGATAAGGTATAAATCACTTTCACGACGTAATCACACATTTCAAATACGGCAAGATTATTTGAAAGCCGTCACGAAGAGCAAGGATATCTTAATGAAAGATCTTTAAAAACTTGCTTTACGATAGTGACTGATACTGATAAATAAAAATACACACTTGTCTTAGAAATAACGATTGAAAAGAAGTCAAAAGAAATGATATGTACTAGCGACTGCTAGGCGCTTGCTATTCATTGCCTTCTAACACAAAAACAGCAGAATGCATCACAAGAAATCACAGAAGAAAGTTCAGAATGAAATATTCGAAATATAGATAAATACACTTCAATTTTTGATTTTTCCCTAACTCAATTTCGGACATGATTTCAACGGAATATGGGAAATATTTCCATAGAAATCAACTGCAGTGATTGCAAAAAAATTTTAAGTTAATATAATAAAAAGATATTTTGTTCTGATGAATCCGTTACTACATTGCAAACGAGAGCAGATGTTTGAAATTATAACTTCATAATAATAATGATTTAATAAATTTCAGTACTCAACAAGGCAACTCGAATTCTGACTGACGCTAATATCAATTTAAAGGAATTAAGAGATGGCAGAAGCCAGACTAAAAACATGACATCTATAGTTTTCCAAAAATTTAATATTTTTCCGGTGTTATCTTACCTGTGAGCACTCGTTGTTACTCACTGTTACTTCCTCAAATCTGGCCTTCTTACTTTTTCGATGCTTTCTTTCCTTCAGTACATTTTACTTTTACCGCTGTAAGCATCATATATGCAAATTTTTTCGCCTTTTACAATCCCACCATCCAAAACTACTTTATATATATATCTTATATATAAAAAGTAGCTTTGGATGAGCTTAATGACAATTAGCAGGATGTACTCGATTCGGCAGAAACAATCACTTCAATCATTGAGACCAGTTAAAACTCATTCTTATGTTCCGGGAAATAAAGTCTATAACAAAGTAGAAATGCTTACACCAAATCATTTTCGTTCATATAAACTACGACAGAATAACTGATATATCACCATCGATATCGTGTATTTACAAGAACCTATCGCCCAATAATAATTATTCTTACTATCAAAAAGTGAAGATACTTGTTTAATCAGAAAACTGGTAACACAATATTCAGTTCACTCTTAGAAATAGAGATATCAGAATGAATAAATTTCAGGAGGAAATTCGAAACGTTTGACAACTGCGACAAACAACTTTACTGCATTATTCGAAAATATTTTCATTAACTATTTATTATCTAGTCATTCTTCACCTATCATAATTGTCACGAAAAAGGATTTGCTTTGCGAATCAACCCTGAAAGAAAGCAAGTTTCATAATTTTATTTTCTATACAACTGACTGAAATAAAAGCTTGCAAGACCTTCAGGTAAATCTACCACAAAATAATTGCTAAGAACAACATTGAGTTTGCTAGATCAAGAATCTGCCAAAACTCAAATTTACGAAAAAACTATGATGAGGATCAGAGAAATTTACTCAGATCTGTGCCGTAGTCAAAATATTTCATGTTATGAAACTCCATAAATGTTATTGTTCATTTATTGTTGAAACCTATTCCTTTAACTTCATACTAAAAGTTTGGTTAATTCTCATTGTTGATATGATTATAAAAATCCTTAGACCTTGTATCTTATATTTGCGCAAACGATGTGATTTAATTCTGATAATATCTTGCAAAACCGTTTTTGCATATCAAAATGAAGGATCTATTCGGAAGGTATTTACAAATTGCTGCAGAAATTCGCTCTTCTACCTTTTAACAAAACTCTTACATGATCTTTAAAAGTTGCATTTATCTTAACAGCACACAACACCCTTTTTTATTTACCCTCGTTCGTTAGCTTATATTTTGTCTTTTTTGTTAATTTTATTCTAATTCCACAGCTCATAACGCTTAATGTTTCAGCAAATTTTGAATAAAATCAATTTACCCGCACTGGAACAATCTGAATCAGAATAAACATGCTTTGCAGAGGTAAAATTTATTTATAGAGGTCAACAGATATGATATCACACTAATGATAGCAAAAAGATAAGCGGAAGTAAATGAAATAAGTATGAATAAACAAATATTATTGCTGCCCGTACATACAAATATGATGTTGATAACATATGACAACGAGTAAATTCTATTAATATGATAAACTGGGGTTTGAAATTATTTTTTAAAGAGCTTATATAGCATGCACAAGTTAGTACAAGGAAAGAAAAGAAAAAAGCCTTAATGTGGCACTGGGTTGATATATACATTTTTGCTAACATTCAACTTATATCTTTGTAAGGATATTAGTAGCATATGTATATAAGTATTTCTATGCTAATCTGTCAATCCATTTGATCTAGTTTGCAAGAAATGTTTTAAAGTATTTTGAGCTACTGAAACATAAATAATCATATCATATCTAAGTAGACCAATAAAATGCAACGAGCAGTCTTTAAGGGAAACAACAGTATATCTGTGGAAATCAGTGCAGTCAATGACAGTGATGAAGCTGCTACGTTCATACTAGTGCTAGCATGCACTGGAAAATTCATGACTGGAAGGAAAAGCAGAAAGTACACTAGATGAGAAAATGTAGAAAACATAAGCGGAACAGAATATTTTGACTGGTTTGGTCATTTCTCGCAAGAAGGATGATAATCTACGCCAGTCTGAAATGGAAAAGAGAAATGCAGAAGACACGAGAAACACAAAAACGAAGCAACTGGTCAACATTTATATAAGTATTTCTATACTGATCTGTCAATCCATTTGATCTAGTTTGCAAGAAATATTTTAAAGTATTTTGAGCTACTGATACATAATTAATCATGCAATACATAAAAAGAATAAGAGAAAATGCAAGAAATTCACGAAATAAACAAGAAAATGAAATGTTCTCAAGGACAGGAAACGAAATGCATAAAGTTTGATAATATTTAGGGGAAGAAATTGAGAAAACTTACTTTTTGATGAACTGTCGTCTGATTTCAGCAGCTTTTTCCGCTTCGATACGATAGAGATGTTCCTGGGAGCAACAATAGTAACTCCCTGGTACAATATGTGATGGACAACAATACTTCTGTTCTTCCCTATCTTTAAAATCTGGGCACATTTTCCGCTTTGCAAGCATCGCTGGCTTATTTGAAACACTAGTGCTAGCACTGCTACTACCAGAACCCGTTGCTTCTAGTGGACACGTTACTGTGTCAACTAGCTGAATGACAAGAATTAGAGGTACGATGATATAGCGATAATACAACATCATCGCGGTGACTGTTTCAAAATACGGTGCTGAGCAGTAAAATGTAAAAATCATTCTGCTCCTACCTTGAACAAATACTAGCTAATGAGCAGATTGTTACATTATCCAATAATCTTTGAAACACCTGAAAGTACTATATTTTGCTCAGAAACTAGATATTTTCTGCATATTCCCAACTCCAAAACGCTGAAATCGGTTTATGTAATGAATACTGAGAAAAAATTTGTGCATATGCGCAGCTCGAAAATTTGATATATAAATGAGCACATTTCTCATGCCATTTCATTGACTTCACATCAACAAACGATCTTTAAAATCAGTTTTTCTTTTTCCTGTGCAGAAAAATTAGCTGACAAACAGTATTTTTTTTTAAAAAGAAAAAATACAAGTACTTGAAAATTCTTACATTTAGCGACAGATTTTTTGTGACATGATATAAATTGCTGACTTATAGAACGGCAAAGAACAAAAAAGAGAGAAGACAAACGAGAATACCACACAAATAGTATTTAAAAATAAGATGCAGTTTAAATATTAAATATGATTCAATGCAACTCGAAAAGTCTATAATTAAGAAATACCCGTGCTTATTAAAATCAAGAGTTCCTCAGTATTTGTTTATTAAGTCCTTTATACTATTCTAAATGGATTTTGTTGGACAAATAGAGTACGAAAATATTTCTAATAAAAATTGAAACCATTTTTTTCTAATATTTGCGTTCTAATGAAGACTGTATATTTGTACTGTTAAAAATTTTACAATATTGTTATCATCAACAAAATAAATGCATTGAAGTTCGGATTATTATTTTCTAGCAAGACTCTTCACAGAACTTTTCAAACAATCCATGTAACCTTAAAATAATTAATCAAAAAGAACAAGTTATGAGATAACTGACTAGATCAAATCACATTTGAAAAGCTAGATGATAATCCAAAAATCAGCTTAATTTAATAGGCTATTTAATCACAGATTACCATACACCACTTGAATACTTTATATACAAAATGGAGGGGTACAAATTAGCCAAGAGTCATTTGGAATAGGAATGATGGAAAGTGGAAAATTTAGTTAAAAAAGGTGTGAAACAGGCACCAAAGGACCTGCTGAGAATGAAAAGCATTGGACAAACCTGAGACTGCCACCGCAGAGGGGTTACAACTGGTGTCCAATCGAAAGCTTGATATTAGTAAATTTATTGTAAAAATGTACCATTCTCAAGACAAGTATGAAATTTCACTCACTGCATTTAATTTCATGATTAATGAGTGTTTGACCACTTAATGACGCATCACTTACAGTTAGAGAACACTTATCCAGACAATGATTATCAGAAGGATAGAAAGAGCACATGGTTATTGAACTGGCTACAAATTCCAAATAAAACATTTTCCAGTAAAGTGATAGATTGCAGCACTACTACACTGAGAATGAGTCACATAAATGAGGAATTCAAATCACTGCTCAACGAGTTCATATGATCAACTTAACTTTATAAAGCGTGAAACATTTTAAGAACACTAATTTTACATGACAAAAAAATAAAAAATAAAAATTAGTGATAAAAAATTAACTCTGCAGAGCAAATTTTGTAAGCATCAATCTACAATATGTAATTAAACAACTGACTACAAGACAAACGATTTATGAAGATATCTGGAAAGTTTTCTGGTCTATTATGCCGTTTATCATTGAAAAACTATAAGCAAGTAATGTAATAATAAAACTTTGGCAGCTGTTCAACTACGCAACTATTGATTGCTTCAAGATTTTCATGCGAATGAAAACGAGGGGTATGGATTGTATGTATAAAAAGCAGCGGGACCAATAACTCATGAAGAGTGTGGTGCAATGAAAACAGAAATTTCGAAAAAATAGACCCACTGTAGAGCTTGCATGTAGTTAGTGTATTTCAAGTGTTATTATCAGCAACTATCATTTATCTTTCATATCTCTAAACAGACTAAATAAAGACTGAATAAATCTTAATATTTTGATATTTTGCAAGAAAAGTCACCGAAAAAGAAAAGCTGCATGACTCACTTTATTGTATACGCTGCTGGTAAAAGACCTCTTTCGTAATGGCTAAATACTGTTATTCCCCTCAAATATACATTTAATGTGAAATCAGGCCTGTTATCTGGTTGATGCTTGCTCGTTATTTTCTCAAATATACATACAATTATAGACATAGACCTAACGCATCCACACACACAATCCTGAAATTGGCAAAAATGGCCACCAAATTGGGCCTGTCACTTTCACCTCAAAACTTGAAGAGCGAAGACGAGGAGAGTTGTACTAGCTGCAGAATCTTGATAGAAGCAGCTAGAATAACGGAAAAAGGGTGAGAGAAGTGTAGAGGAGAGAGAAGAACAGCTGGGGAAGAGAAGAGAAAAAAAGGAAAGTTCTTCGCAGCACTGCCAGGGGTAAGGTTGATTGTCTCAAGGTTTTTCCTCCTCGTTGTGCTTTGTGTGGAAGGAGTGGCTAACCTCACACATGCTTACCACACCCTTTGCCAAGGCGAAGCTAGTCATATCGTTGTTGCTTAAAGATAGCAAACGAGCAGCATGCCAACGAGATGGCAAGGAGAAGAGTAGAAAAGGGGGCACTAAATGATTTCATGTTCTTTAATTGCATTGTCATTAGTTCTATTACATTAATTTTAGCTGCATTTGAGATAAAACAATTTTAATTATGTTGTTGCCATCATTATGAGATGAGCCCCTTCTAAGGCATTATATCCAGCTTCATCGAATCATATGAAGCATAAAGTTTATCACTTTCAGAATTCTAATTTTAAATGCGAAACTCCTCGAACAGACAACCCAAGCAATATAGCAATAGATATTTCACCCATATTCAATTAATTCTTCAAAATTAGACTTTTTTTAGTGAACTACAACATCAAGCAAACCACAACAAAGAAATAAGAAAATCTTTGCGAGGTCAGTTCGCTCACAAGATCTACTTAGCCAAAAAGTTGCGATCAATTCACATAACCAATTAATTGTCGTATTAATTATCGCACGAGCTTGTATCACGGAATGCATGGATTACATGTGCCGTTCAATGCACTTTATTGTTAGTCGCGTTAAAAAAAATATTCAGTTTAGTGATGATGAATTCATCGAAAGTGGAAGAAAGCCACATGAAGTGAAATGAGTTTGATTTGACTAAATTCTTTATTACAACATTAAGCCTTTTTTCTTTCCTTTTGCACGTACTTTTCGGCCAAACATTTACTGAGAAGGGAAAATCTGAAGCACAGCGAACTGGAAATGAGGGGGAAGCAGCTTCATGAGCAGAGGGAAGCAAGAAAGCTAATTAGCACAAAGTCGGATTTCGGAGCTGAATTTCCAATAAACCCAGCAAATTAATTACTTCTCAGTACCATCCTGTGAACCATGAGCAATAACTTTCAGCCATAACTGTGTGTATGCTTGCCTTAATTGCGTTGCAGGAAAAATTACAAAGAGTAACAAAATTAGTCTGGGACGATTCCCAACTTTTAGCTCCGAAATCCGATAAGCGACTACGTATCTCTACTACGCAATTCTAGTATTTACATTTTCTAGTCAACGAGAAGTGAATCGACTTACTTACTGTTACAGCTTTATTCCTCTGCAGTGATTATGCAGTGTTGCTAGCAGCTGTTGCTATCGTAACATTTGCTACTGCAATAATGTGCTCCTACAATGTCGAAATTCTTTTTTCGAAAAATTATGGATTGAGCAATTTGGAGATAATATACAAATTTAAATTATTTTTTTTGAACAAATGAACCAAGATTAATGCTTAGTGTGCATAAATAAAAATGAAAGATGTGATTAAAAAATTGTTAGAAATAATGAGAAGGCACTGTGTAACGAGACATTTTTTGTTGCAATAACTTTTTTTGGTTTATACTGATTATTATAGTCATATGGAAACGTTAAATTCCGATTGATTAACACAAAAACGAAAAAATTGTCGAGAATGTTTAGAATTGAATTTGTTTTTTTCTTGGATGTAAAAAATTGAAGGAAATTTGTTGAATACTTTCTTTCGTAACTTTCTCTGCACAACAAATAGTTGCAACCCCATCGTATTTCTGCTATTCTTCATCCTTTTTTTTCGTCCCTTTTTTAGAAAAAATTTCGCAAAATATTATATCTGTCTAAGTCTGTTTTTTGAGCACCCAAGATATTTCCATGTAAAGCAGAAAAATTAGGACTTGTGTTACATAATAGATTTTGTGACAAGTATAATATGCAACTCACTTCAGTGTATCACTATACCATCATCAATTCCAATTGGTGATACCGAGGAAAATTAGCTTATTTCTATGTAAAGCATTTGAAATGCTTACCTCTGGTTCTGCTTCATAATATTTTTCCCGAGAGTTTTATCAAAGTTCATTAAAATTTTTGTTCCAAGAATGAATGTAGAAAAAAGAACTGCAGCGAATAGTTGAACAAACGTTGTTATTCCTTAATTTATCCAATTTTGCATCCCAAATGAAACTGTTCAAGTTTCTTTTCTATGAACAATGCTTTTCATACTCTTTATCTCCATTGCATCAAATATAAAACTTTGTAACAATGGCAAAGTGCTCCTAGAGTCGATAAGAGGAATTTAGATTTTGAATGAAAAAATGAGAAAGTTTTTGGGAAAGTTGAAACATAGATTTCTTCACTATCGTATTCTGATATCAATCATAAAAGCTAAATTTATTGTGAAATAAAAATTAAATTTGAGTGATGTTGCATAAGAATGGAAAGAAAATATTTAAAAACACCTGAAATATGACTAAGATAACTCTTAAATTACAATAAAAGAGAAATATGCGAGTGCATTATTTTGATAAATACTTTTGGTCTACAAGAATTCGCTCAATCATTAGAAATAAGGCAGAAGCAGCTGAAAACTTCTTCCATACATCTAGCATGAATTAAGCAGTAGCAGGAACAAAAGAACAAGAGAAGCCTATTTTATTTTGGTTCGGATTAACTTTTGATGCAAGTGTAATGTAGATGGATAATTGAATGTTAAACAGTTAGACAAACCGAAGAGAAAAATGAGTTGGAAATGATTTTTAAATATTGTGAACAACCGCTTTTTCTTTATAAATAATTTATATCCTACTGATATTGATATGCAGAGAAGCAGGAATGAGAGTAAGAATTTTTACATTCTAAGGAAAATTATTTATTTACATTAGTGACCTCCCTCCATAATTGCATTACTAGTCGAAAAAGGCAAAGATTCTTGACATTTTGGTAGAGGGGTTCAAAGCTGAATCAAGTAAGACGGAAATAGCCAAGAAAAAGAAAGACCGGAAATGAACGTAAAAGTCGGCATCAAATATGTTAGATTTTGTGTAAATGTTTTTGAAGGACAAATTGATTTTGTTATGTGTGAAGTACAGACAAGAACTTAGTTGAACGTCTCAGTCAAATGATGAATGTTTCTATGAAATTATAACAGAAATCAGTTTGCGGATATTTTTATTTTCAAGGAGAGAGCTTGTCATTCAACTTTTTACCAGTCTGCATTCCTTTTACTTGTTCTACCTTTGATTAGAATAAGGAAAACTGGTAAATTTTATTATGAATCCTCTCCTGTAACAGGGTAAAGATAAAAGACATCTGCTACAAAGTTTGAATGTACATTAATAACTGAAAACAATGGTAGAGTGGTAATTATAACTAAGAACTTTGAATAAAATTACCTCATTACAATAATAATGTAATTTATTGAAAATAGAATATTTGGCATTATTATACATCTTAGATCAGAATACTGATAAAGCTTTTACATTTTGCAATTTTTTGCTTCTCACCACCAAAGAGCTCAAACAGAATATCTTTCGTTTATATGACTGCTCAGCCACTATGTTCCGCTACTCAATCCCTTGTTGCCTTGTCAACTAAACTATTACTTTTACTGTCTGCATTGTCCATGAAGTATAAGGTGAAGAAATAAATAAGATGCAAATGATTTGTGCCTCCACAAATTATTGAGATTGTAAGAATGAGAAGTTACCGAAACTCAAGTCAGAAAAGTATTTTTTTAATTTGTGCAAAATCGACCATTATTTACTCTGCAAGAAATATGGTCTAACGGAATGGCTTCGCATACGTAGTAAATTTTATTATGAATTCTCTTTCGCATATGCCACGTATGCAAACCCATCCCGTTCAGGAGATCGTTGCTAATTAGAACAAGGAGATCGCAGTTGATAAGTTATGAGACAGTTGAAACGCGTGCGACGATTTGAGATGGGATAGTGACAAATTTTTATAAACGTTATGCGACAAGTTGTCATCACAATCTGCACTCCTAAGTATTGTGGTTCCTCCACGTAAATTAAACGTAAAAATACTTTAAAACGAATACTAGGAACAGTATTACAATCAAAAGTTGCTGCCCTTTTGTAACAACAGATCAGAAATCCATCTTAGCTAACATTATGTTAACCAGCTTGTGTACTTATTCTTGACGTTGCTACTAAAAAGTATCAAGTCTTTCAAGTATGGCGTTAATCTTGAGCAAAATGAGTCTCCACTACCTCATTACTTATTTTCAATTGCATCTATAAAAAAAAAAGATAGTAGGCTCTTGTAAGACTTCATTGTATCGAAACATGCGAAGACCGGAGTATGGCATATAGATTTATTGATAGCTGCATAATAAAAATGTATTACAAACATCAAACAGTGTCATTTGACAACGGATTGTATGACACGCAAGTAGGTTCGTATTCAGTGATATCTTGGTGAATATTGATAGTATGCACCATTTCAGTCTTAATTCGGGAATAAAAGCAATAGAAACAAACTATTGTTATTGCACAATAATATGCTTAATGAATCACAGATATGTTAAAGTTAAACATGTTATTTTTGACGTCAGGTGTAGAAAGGTCGACAAGAAAAGGCGTGTGAAACTACCTCTGACGGGGTTTAGTTATAAGATTCAATTCAAATATGGAAAAGTATCTTAGAAGTTTTGTGTGTGAAATAAAGAGATTTTGAGATTAGAATAAGAGTTCAGTATAAGGCATGACTTATAGCGAAATAGAAATATGTTCAAAGTTGCAAAATAAGAGAGTGGTAGTCCACCCGGAGCCTATGTAAGTAGCGAAGTAACTTGTTCGTTGAATAAAGCCTGAAGGGCCGAAATGCTTAAGTGCTCTTTACTATTTGAATAGCCATGAAAATATCATTAAAATGCATATTGCAAAACCAAAGCAGTGACTTCGAAATTTGGAATACACTAACATAAAGAATTTACGTTTCCCTAACACAAAGCAAAAATAGAAACAACAATCTAATACGTGCATTCAGCTTCTTTTAGGGTAGTTGATTAAGATGTCTTTCAAATCAGTACATGCAGATATTAAAAATTTTTTTTCTAACGTTCTGATTTTTCACATTATTTACGAGTCCCTCGTCTTCTTGCAGCTTCGATCATTTCCTCTTGTAATGTCTCCATAAGATCTAAACGTGGTACTGCTGGCGGTTCAAAACTGGAAAATTAACAAGCAAATTTGATCTATTAATATGATAAAAATGAACACAAAGATTTACCATGATTGCGGTATTCTATATTCTGAAAATATCTGGAAACCAATAGAATGCAAAATTAAATTCACAAGAATTATAGTGAGTTTTGAAACTGATACCCGAAAGCGACGTAATCATGATCACGATCTTTCATAGCAGCCCAAATAAATGGAGTGTTATCATAGCCTGAAAAATACAGTTATTCTGGAGAAATGAACTTATAGAAAAAAAATATCGATTCAATATACTTTAAAAACTTTCATTATTCACAACCATCGTGTTATTAAATATATTTATATTCCATACTTTTCTGCTTTTTTGTATATCATAAAACAGCCATAATATATGAGAATAATATATTATGTAATGAATTCGGATAAAGCAACGATTACTATGGTGAAATAAAACAGAAAGCAGACAAAATATATTGGTTACTGAAAAAGACGATTTCATAACTAGAATAAATAATATGACTTACTTCGATCCATTACGATCTCAACTTTCGCGCTAGCATAATACGCAATAAGCGAAAGAGCAATAGCCCACGCAATAACTTGGCCTTGAAGTGGATACAATTCAAATCCATGTATACTTATATGATGCTTATATCTGAAATGAAACTTCTATTATCAAAAATTTTGTTATATCAATATGTTCGGAAAATATAATTAAAACAGACTTCATAGACGGTTCATTATGCTCCGCAACAAATGGATCTAATTTTCTCGTAGTTTTTTCCACCAAACTAGCTTTTTTAGCAGTTTCAGTTTTAGATTGAAGTGGTGCTGTAGTTTTATACAAATAACGGAGAACTCTTACAGTTAGTATTTTTCGAATATGAGAACGGTAAATAATTTGTGATAACAAACCAGGCATTTCTGTAAAAATTACGTTGGGTGGTGCAATACATTTCATAAAGTCAAACTGATACGAATACTTATAATTTTGAAAAATCGAAATAACCATAGTGATATTAATAATGAATTAACCAATATATCTACTTCATAACTACTTGCAAAGATTTTTGAAAAATCTTTGCGCCATAATTCACTTTAATATTTATAAACTATGAAGTTTTTTCTGACATATTTTTGACAAAAAAACAGTTCGTTATATACAACTAAAAATTACGTACTTTCTCAAAAAAAGTAATGCTAAATTGTAAAAAAATCGAGTGATTCAGAAGTGCACAGTTGATGATAAAAGACTGAAAGAACATATTTGTTTTCTGAAATTTTCTGAGCATCAGATCAGGAGGTAATAAGAAATACTATGTAAACAATATAACTTATTTAAATCCTCAAAACAGCACCCTACACAATTCCGAACAAAAAAAGGAAATATTGATAAATACAGCAATCAATAGATATAGATTAGCAAAGACCACCAATGTTAATAGACCTTAGCATACTGAGATGAAAATAAATCAGATACTTGTGATACTATAAACTACTGCACTTCAAGTTTTCCATTTAAGACCTAAATTTTAAAAAATGCTTCCTGCCATTTTTACAAAACAACTTTTTTCAGTTTTCCTGAACTCAGTTTTTAAGTTATCTAATTTTGTACCTTCAGATTGATATTTCACTTATCTATTTGACTTTACTATGAAACTGAATTAATAAATTATTATTAGTAACTTTTTCTGTAAAATGAAGGACCTATACCAATGCAGCTGTGTGCTAAGAAGCGCCGTTTAACTTCACAAACTTCTTAATAGTAAACTTCTAGTATTTCGGATTTAAACCAATAATTAAGCTGATTTAAACCGATTTAAACAATTTTCAGATTTATAATGTATTCATGAAGATAATGACAGCAATATTTTGTGTTACATGAGTGATCTCGTTCGTTATGCTGTGCAAACCTTTTATCGTTATCATATTTATGTCAATCTCACCTTCTGACTTTCTCTCTTTGTTTACCCGTTATTTTCAAGAGATGAGACGATGAATATAGTAGGCGCACTCGTTTTATAAAGCTTTTATTCGCAACTTCTGTATGACTTTACGAAATGTCTTATGCTTCCGTTTGTATATGATATTATCTTTAACGTGCTAAATAGGTTTTGAGATGATTTATCGATGAGGACTTTTCTACACTCTTGAGACTTGGGTTTGCAGCTGATTTTGATCTTCTGATATCCACCTTTGGTATGTCCATTCTCTTAGGCTAGTCAGTTACTTCGTACTTCATATTGTCAAAAATCTATCTATTAGTTTTAGAGTTTCACAACAGTGACTGATTTGTTGAGAAAGTAAAGTTTGATAATTATCGTTTTCATTTTATTGCATTGTGTGTTGAGAGTGTCAATTTCAGTAAGGTAAAAACGATAGTTCATAACCAGCTTTCTTTTTGGAAAAGTTCATTTTTTGGAAATTGGCTTTTAAAAGAACTTTGTGAGCCTGATTAACTGCTCGTACAGTATATCACACGACAGAACTAATGCTGGTAGATGCTATTTTATTTACTGCTTTGTTTCGCGATCAATTCAGGTACGCTTCTTCCCTTCTATATCATTTCTTGAATACTAACTACAATTTTGTGGAATTTAAACAGTTTCTGAAGTTCTTGACAGTAAAACAGATCTGTTTAGTAAATGCGAAAGAGACTCAGCGAAGTATGACACTGTCAAAAATTAACAAAGAAGCGGATCCGATTTAAAAGTTTGGGAGCGCAAACCTTAGCATGTTTTGTTTAAATGTTTCCGATATTAAACTTTTATTATTATTCAGACGGATTCCATTTCACTATCAAATCAATCCAGTGATTTTTTATAAATGAAAAAAAAGTAATTAAAGAAAATCTCTATAGCAATAATGATTATGAACGAAATAAACGAAGCGGTTTAAACGATTTAAGCATGCGGTAATGAAAGGGTCCAACTCATACAAATTTGATTCGCTTGTATGAAATAGTGAAATTGCTGGGGAATAATAATAATACTTAACCAAATGAATCACTGAATGGAGAATGAAAGTGATTCTTTATTCAATGCGAATCATTACTTGCTTTCAATTTTATTGTTATCAGCTACTTCAGTAATTGAAAATGATTCTTGCAATTTATTGGAAAGAAAGACATTAAAATTTCATGTTTGGTTTTTCATTGTTGTACTGAATAATGATTATAAAATACCTTTCAATTTCAAGAACCATAAATTTGTAAAAAATCATGCAAAATTTTGAAAAATTTCTGCAAATTGTGAAATTTTTTGTATGGCTTCTTTAAGTTGAAAGTTCTTTTTGTTATAAAGTCTAACAAGCCAAAAATCGCTAACAAATGGTTGTATCATTATGCTGATCTGCGACCAACTGAAATGAATAACAGAATCGTAAACGAAAGAAAATTAGCGAGAAAAATTTATCAAAAAGGATAGAAATAATTTACAACTTTATAACAAAAAGATCAAAGAAAGTTTAATTACTACAGAAACAAATGCTTTAAATAACACATCTATAATTGTTAAATAATTGTCATACTTTTTACGTCTAAGACGGCAATGATTTAAAATATTTGTGCAATTAAATTTGAACAATTTGTTGTTAGATCCGATGATAAAAATATCTTTATATTCAACTAAAAAAGTATCGTTTGGTTGTATAAAGGTATACATGATAATAAGTTTTGGCATAAATTATTTGATACTAATTAGTGTAAAATATATTCACTGAAAGTTGTAGTAAAGTTAAAAACTGTTGAGTGAAAAATCAGTGAAAGCTATTTTATACTGTGTGACTACCTGAATAGATATGCTTGCAAGTAACAAACCATGAAGTACTGAAAATTGTTTCTCAAAAAAACAATTAAATTAGTTCTTGACTAGAATTTGTCATTAGCAATTGACGAAATTAAAAAAAAGAGATTCATAATTAACTCTCTGAAGACAAAAATACTTTAGAAGCAGTCATAATTTTCAAATTCGTTCCGCAAATTGTGCAACTTCCCATATAGCATCTTCATGTTGAAAGTTCTTCAGAAATATACATCGCTTGCTAAGAGAATAATTTTATTCGGAATTTCGTTTATTGCAGCTGTCCCAAGTAGTGTTAATATTATCACAAACTCTCGTAACAATTCTGTGTCACAACCTGTTTTATCTATTTTCCTCAATATTTTAAAAATAATTTAATAGCGGTTGCATAATTTGCGAAAGTTATTGTCAGAGGAGAAGAAATGATGGAAAGGAGAAAGAAATGAAAGGAAATTAAGATGAAAACAATCATTTTTGAAATTAATCGATGTTATGTGAGTAATTATAATAGTTCGCTCCTATTTTTAAGATTTTCTCAAAGTTGCAGTCAATGTATTCAGTTTTTCAATTTTTATGTATGAAACTAAAATTACATCATCATTCAGAAGCAAATTCTTTGCGAAAAATTCAGAAATATAATGCACATATTTTTATTCAACTTGAATTTTGCGCTAATGATTAATCAGAAAAGTGCAAACGCACCAAAAGATTCTATTTTATTCTGTTATAGTTTAGAAGTTATAAAGAGTTAGTTCAACATGGACACTCATTACTACAATCGTTTTTCTATCGCTTTACTATTTTATGTTGAAACAATAGAGTAACTTTTTTTTAATTGATTCCAGAATTATTTTTTCAAAACTAAATGCATTGAAATTTAATTATGAAGAAAAAAACAAAATTGCTGTACAATAAAGTCTTCAAGTGTTGCTACAAAAGAGTTATAGTAAAAGAAAAGCAAAAGTAACATTATCCCTATGCATTATTTTTATTATATATATAACATATTTATTATTTTATAGTGATTTTATAGCGCTACTCAGTTTAGAATTGTCGCTGAATATGAAGGCTGGAAATTGATTCTCTAAATACAAGCACATTGAGTTGCTCATGTGAATTTCTAGATCTTGTTTTGTGAAATGAAAATTAAATTTTAATTGGGTACTTTTTTATTTAATGGTTGCATTACAATAGACATTATGATTTTAATGATATTCCACAAGTACTATTCATCTCTTCTAAAAAGTTATAACCATAAAAACTCAAACTGCATTTTATAATTTGAAGTTCATGAGTAAAAAAATAGCTTCTAATCTAGTCTGAATGCACTGTAATATTCAAATATTAACCATATGAAAACCGGTCGTGGATTGGAAAATGGCACAAATAAAAATATTAGAAGGCATTATTTTTTTTGCTGCAAATAATCAGTGTGTCTCCACGAAATCGATCTCTTTTCTGTGGTTTCAGTGGTTAAAGTTCAGATAAAAACTGTACTGTCTTGTTTATTACTCGTTTATCTCTGTCAAAAATATCACTTGTCAAAATGAATTTATTCATCCAAAATACTTTTCATTTCTTTAAAATTTCATTTATTTTCAAGAAGATTGGTATATCAATTTTAATGAACCACTTCAAGACTTGTCTCAAAAGAGTCAATATTTTTCCTGTGGCTAAAATGTCATCACTATCCTTTTTTTAATTCTGAATAAAAGTGCTCACCAGATTCAAAATTTGGAAGGCACTTTGTGAGGAATCAAGTGCCTTTTATCTTTTGCGTTGTTATCGTTAGCTGTTACAAACTTCCCAGTTGACGAAATTTTCTAATTTTTGCATAAGTAGTGCTTATTTCATGAAAATATTACTCTGCAATTCTATTCGAATAGTTGACACAAAAATGAAGAAGAGATAAGAAGACAAAAAACTAGGGAGTACTATTTAATATATCACTTCAAAAAATGTACAGTTGAAAATTCCTCCACCATATTATATCGTTTCCCTAACTAATGAATAATTGCCGAATTTGAATATCTCAGAAATCAGTTTTCGTTTTTTCAAATGATGGTAGTTATAGAAAATTAGGTAAAAGCCAAAATTTCTTTTGATTTTAATGAAAACACTTGCAGAAATCTCATCTAAATGAAATACAAATGCATTACAGACAAACACTTTGTGGACAATGAGAACCGGGAATAAAGGTGGATTGCTTGAGCATCGAATACGTTATATTATTTTGTTGCTTGGATGGATATGTTTGGCTTCAATATTTTCCAATACAATTATTCTCTACTTCACATTCATATGCATGAGTGGGCCAGTTTCGAATAATCAAACAAGTGACACTGTCACGGTATGCCCATATGTCTTTAAGCTCACTTCTTCAAGAAGTAGATTTTTTAAAGCGGCCTACTTTCTCAGAATAACTTTTTGATCTGAAGTTAGATAACAACTTTTTTGGTTGCATAAATACAAAACTATTACCAATGAAAATTCTAGGCAAAACAATATGTGATTTACAACAGTAATTTGTAATTTTTTTAAAATTATTCAAAGAAAGATACTTTTGAAGAGAAGCGATTTAAAGTTTTAAAAAGTATTAAAATAGAATGGTATTCATTTTAGACGACTATATAAGTAATATTAATGGATGAAATATAAAAAGCTAAAACTAGATATGGAAACTGAAATGATATACCAAGAAACTGCTTTGCTTTTGATTTCAATTTTACCAGAATATTATGTAGATTGTCAAAAGCATTTCACGAAATTTAAATTATGATCAACGAGAAAAGTCAACATTGCTTTGGGCTCTTGGTCTTGGCACCTTTATTGGTGTTTGGCCCTTTAATTACTTGTATCTTCATTTTGGTGCTCGATATGTTTTCTTTGGAGCTGGTTTATTATCTGCTTTCTCCACAGCTCTCATTCCAACAACCGCGTACATGAGTCTTACCTGGTTTGCTATAGTTAGAGTTTTTCAGGTGAATTTTCTTACTATCCTATTGTCATTGTTTTTAATTTAATTCGGCCTGCCACAAAAACCATATTTTTTCAAATTTTGTTAAATTGAAAGTGAATTCCTGCAAAATAGTTTTGGCAATTATCAATTTCACTGTATAATTTTTTTGTCTTATCATTTAGCAAATTATACTGGCCTTGGCTCTTCCAAAGCTACTTTCAAAGATTTTGCCACAAATTATATTTTTTAATTTCAGATTTATGTTTGAGTAATGGGATTTCAGGTTACATCTGAATAAATTGTGAAATCACTTGTGATCTGTTTAGGGTATAGCATATGCTGCTGATTTTGCAGCAATTGGAATTATAACTGTTCGTTGGGCATCATTAAAACAGAATGGTCTATTCATAGCAGTGCTAACAAGCTTTAATAGTCTTTCCACAATTGTCACGAATTCTGTTTCTGGCTTGGTTGGTTTTTTCATTCTGCTTTTGTGGACAGCATTTCAGAAAATTTATCAAGAAATGCAAATCTAATTACTTTTTAAATTTCAATTCAAACATCTCTCAATTTGCTCAATTTTCGCTATGTGAGTCATCTTTGGGCTGGCCAGCGGTATATTATATGCACTCAGCATTTGGTTTGTTCATATTCATTGTTTGGCTTTCTTTTTATCGAGATCAACCGGAAATGCACAAAAATATTTCAGGTAGTTGTTATAACACTTTAAATAAAATTTCGGTGGCACATTAAAGTTTGTCCTATATCTTTAATTTTCGTATCGGATATTGAAACAAAAAGCATCATCTTTTAAAAATAACTTTTAACTTTTTAGAAATAGAGTTGGAAAAAATATATAGAGAGAAATCGAATGGTTATAGAAGCGACAATAAAATACCATATTTGGTAATTCTTAATTTCAGCGATTTCCAAATAATGCTTCTTAAAATCGTTTTTAAGTTCATTTGCATTCAGTCGTAGTTCAAGCCAGTTTTTAGTATACAATACTATTTTTCTACGACTAATGCCATATTATCAAAAAATTGTAATTGTCTTACCCAACAATTTAAAAAACTAATGAGAATCGTAGTATTAGTGACTGAGGTTAGTTAAAGTTGATTTCAGGCCATCATAAAAAATCCAGTAATTTTAACCGTTTGGTTCAATGCATTTGTGGAAATTGTTTCTGGACTATTTTTGCTTAGTTATGGACCAACTTATTTGAAATTTGTCTTGAAGTTCAGGTTGCTTTCAAGTACATTCTCGTAGCGACAAAAATTAGTCTTAGATATGATTTTTTACCTATATTTCAGTTAAAGAGATCATCGTTTCTCACAATGTTATCTTGAAGTTCAGGTTTGCCTTTTTCAGTATTGAAGGAACAGGATTTTTGGTTGCTTTGCAAGGGTTATCATTTTTACCTGTCCGTATCATAGCTGGCTTCATGAGTGATAAGATCAAGTATGTTGCTCAATTTCTGAAAATTTTCATCGTTCATAACCATAATTAGAAATTTTTAAAGTCGTTTGGTCGACGTTGAAAAAGATTCTAATTCTGCTGAACAATAGGACTAATTCAGTTATAATTTTAGGTGTATGAAAGAGTATCAAAAAATGGTCCTCTTTAATTCCTTATCTTTAGTTGGGGCCGGCGTATTGTATAGTATTCTTGGTTTTATCCCAATCAATTATCCTGTGACATCTGTAATTGTCATCGCTGCAACTCATGCTGTCATGGCATTTAACGTTGGAGGGTTTTACAAATGCGGCACATTTGTAGCTCGGTCTGTTTTCAGAATAATTAGAAAATATAATAAATAACTTACTTTATTTTAGATTAACTGCCACTAAAAGAAAAAAGATGTGGAGAATTATTAGACATTTTTTGCTGAAAGCTGAAATTTTTCCGAGCTATAATTTATGCTGGCATGCGTAAATGATACAGAATCACTCGTATCTGTGATACACTTTATAATACATACGAATATAATGAGAAATAAACAATTTTGCATCGTTCATAATCTTAAATCTCACTCTGTTTAGAAATTTTTAAGTTGATGTGATTAACGTTGAAAAAGATTTTCCTGCTGAATAATAGAACTAATTGAGTTATATTTTAGCAGATAGAAAAAATCATCTTCACTGCTAGCATCAAAGGGTAGTCAGCAGAGGTTTAAAAAAAATTTGAAACAGTCGTAAGGAAGTAGCGACCAAACTATAGTACCTTTACAGTAAGATCATGATAAATACTTTGGAAGAAATGATATATATTTATCTGACATGGTTTATTAAATTCACTCAGTTTCAGACAATATAGCCACTTTGTAATTTCAAATATACAATTTATCAAGTGTTTCGCTTTATTTATATCACCATTATTCGTTGCAATATTTGTAAGCGAAGATTCGGCGCAGGTGGGTAGTATCTTTGATTTACTCTGTTTTTCAGTTTCATCTGATATTTGTAAGTTTTTTACGACGGGAATATTCTTTGAAATAATTTCCTACAAGTTCCAGTATATACAAGAGTCTGTAAGTAATTATAGTCAATTCAACATTTGCATGAAGAATAATTTGGTGATTTTCAATCTAATCAAGTCGATCAAATATTATTTAAATCACGACACAAATCCATTTCGTTTACCGCTATTCAGTTAGATCAGAAACATTTTCTATCTTACTCCTGTTCCAGGAACAATGGCGAATCATATTCATAATTATGGCTATCTCTTTGCTCGTTGCTAATATTATATTCTGCTTCCTGGCAACAGATAAAGCAGGCAAATTCACAATCCTCCCATCAACCGAAAAGAAGCAAACAATTTGTATTGCGACAGTTTCTTGAAGGACGGACAAATACTTGATGCCGCAATTTCATTCAACATTTAAAGTTTACTCCATTTGTATTCCAAAAATTAGAGTAGTGATGCGAAATAGAATTATATGAAATTGTTTGAGCTCACACATATACTATGAGCAATAACCAAGTTATAGTTTAATTCTTAGACCTGGATAGAGAACCTAACCGAGAAATATCTGCTAGGATATTGCCTTTTTATTTCCAAAATGTTGTACCTTTCATAATAGAATCCACAACTATTAAAGAAGCAATCTTGTTTGATTATACTAATTTATATTTCAAAAAAAACATGTGTCTAAATGCATGCGTGCTCAAAATGTTGATTTCCCGTTGCTCAACAATTTCATGACCTTTTATTAATACGTTGCATCTTTGCCATTGAAAATTTTCTACGAGTATTCTGGTAAACAGAAGAAGCAAAACAATATGCCTGACAGACATTTGTTTGCCTAGTCCGTTAATGTACATTTTCAGTACAAGAAAGTGTGGAAAAGGAATTCTGTTCTGCATTTCCGTGACAAAAAATGAAATTCTTGACTGCATTAAAAGACTGCACCTAATCAACTTCATGACAACCTCTATAAACTTATAACTGACTTATAATTACTCAGGTAGCGTTGAACTGGAAATAACTCTTTGCCATCATTACAGTTGCTACGATATTATGCTGTTGTATAAGACGAATTAATTTCGGTCTTAGAACGATTTTTCTTCGTTTACAAAATTCAATAAAATTGTCAGGTGCCATATTGAAAATCATGTGGGATTTAAGAGGAACGTAACGCTCAAGCAAGTTATTTTCAATTGTAGCAAGTGAGTGAATGAATAAGTATGTGGTGGTTAGTAGGCATTGTGTTGGTTTGGCTCATTTGTGGGTTGTGTTTGGGAAATGAGCATAATCTTGATATTGTTCAATATCGGCTGCGCTTGTAAACTTAGGTCGTCTTTTTACTGTTATCGGTTTCTGAGAATAAGAAATAAGCAGTGGAGAATGTAAAAAGAATAACTAGAATGATGGCGCTTTACAGCTTGCATACAGTTATCCATAGAACTACATTACAGTATTTGCATCTGTCTCATGGAAATTTTGAAGCGCAGATTAGACTGGGTGCTGGTTTGTCATCATAATTTGTCAAGACTGAGTGATCTCGAGGTGTAGCGAATTTCTAAGAATTGTGAGTTATTCAGATGTCAAGTTGGCTTGAGAGCACTAAAGTTGATTTATGGAAAATGCATAAAGTCATATGCCAGCATTGATTATTTTTCATCTCCTGTTTGCTAGAAATTATAATGTGAACGTCAAAATAGCCATGTCGAACAGGTCAAACTCATAGTCATTGTTCTGTAGTAACAATTTTGAAAAGCGAAACTTATCAGTGTGATGGGAAGAAATTTAGAGAAATGGATGCTCTAAAAAGGTATTATGTTAACTTTCTATGGTTTGATCAAAATGAGGTGTCATATGAATAATCACATTAGGAAGAAGGCTTTTCTGTTATTTCGACCAATGTTTCTTATGTCTCGTCATTTCCTTATCAGATTGTATCTTTATACCATAGCCATGATAAATCATAATGTTGATCGCGACACATTGCTGTTTTGTGTCGTATTGATGAATTGCTAATCAGGCTATTCTTATCTCCTTACAGATAAAATGAGTGACTATAACAGCCAAATGATGGCGCAGCAATACACGGTGGATATGTCGCATTCGTCATCTGGTATGCAGGGAATTCATTCTTCACCGCAGCAACCGGTTTGTCTTACCTCAAGTGTCTCGAAGATGTCCTTAAAGAACCCTGCTACTGTTGAGAAAAGAATTGAATGTTACCAATTCATTAAACTTATATTTGTTGGCTAATTAAGTTTTCCCAAATGTACCATCAGTCCTTCTTGCATTTTGTACTCCTTAGAATGAAATAATCTGACCAAACATTTTTGTCTCGATTTTTTATTTCTTTTTATAATCAAAACTATTTATTGCTAGCAAAAACGAAGTATCAGTGATGAAAGCATAGTAATGAATTAAATTTGAAAACTTTATATTACAAACAACTTTCCTGTTTAAGCAGCAAACCCATCTGATGCAATCTGGGCAAATGCTTTCACATCAACAAATGATGATGCAAGCTAATCAACCAGTTCACATACCGCCTTGTAAGCTCCTCTTTGATACATTAAATATTGAAAATGTATGTCTACCTACTTTTACTTAACTCAGTATGAAGGGTTTCTTATTATAGCACACATTGCTATAATAGTCCAAATTTTTGGTGCACAGAATAAATTACATTTGGATGTAGTTTTTTCCAAGAACCATCTTCTTTAGTACTGCGTAATTGCTGTTAATCATTAAGTCATGGTTTTTTTCTTTTTTTTTTCTGTAGTCACAAAAGCTTTTGCTATAGCTTGGCATACCAAATAAACTCTAACATTGGGTTTTTTTCTACAATGTGTAATTCATAATTTGTGATAATTTTTTGAGAGTTTTTTAATTATCAAAAGATGGAGCTATCATGCAAGTTTGTGTGTTTTGTACGGTTTTCGTATTCGATGCCATCTTTGGATAAACTCTCATTCAAATGCATTTCGAAAATTAATGCAGAGGATCTTTGTAGCTACGAGTATGCAGGTACAGATGGGATCAATGGGTCCACCTCAGATAATATCTCAGCAGGGAGTTGCTCTTATGAGTCAGCAAGGACAAATGCAACAAGCAGGTATTCTGACAAGTTTTTTGTTGTTCATTATCTAGGAACAGATAATCTTTTAAGAACTTTAATAGAACAGAGAACACAACGAATTGCTTTTTTTTCCATTAAAGCATTTAGATGTCAAAATGGTGGTTTTCTTATGTAAATTCTAAATGTCCAACAAGTGATCCATTACCCATTGAGCTAATACTGTTCTAATGCTGCTTACTTCCTTAATATTCGTATTGTCTTGATGTTCGTTTTTTTGCTTTTATTGATTTTATAAATATTTGATGCTACAAATTATCTATCCCAGGTTCTGCACAAGGTGCTATCATACAAGGACATCATCAAATGATTACAGCTGGACAGATATCTCCCCAGCAAATGTCTACTCATATTATAGTCACTTCGATGGGTCAGCAGCAAATGCTTCCTGCTATGATAACCCAGGTTCAGCATCAACAGCAGCAGACACCCCATCAAATGAATCAGCTAAATGCGCCACATTTAGGATCACAGCATCAATCACAACCAGCTCTGCAACAACCACAGGCGACCCAGCAACAGCAGCATCAAATGATGACTTCAGCACAAATTATGACGCAGCATAATCAGGTGCAGCATTCTTTAACTCAACAGAACATTGGTCAAAGTCCGGGGTTTACTCATCCAAGTCAGCCTCACATGCATGCTACAAATCCGAATTATCAGCAATCTTCTCCACTTCGGTCAATCACTCGTTATCCTTCTCCAAGTCCGGAAAATGTCCAACATTCGGCTGCTGTCTGTATGTTTAAATAGATGTATTCTCTCTCGCTTTTTTGTAATGAAATAAAGAAGTATAAAGTATAGCGTACGAAACATTCTAAATCATCACAAATTCTTTAGCTGATAAGTTAAGAATGTTTTAGATCGTTCACCGATGCAACGTTCTGCAAATGGGCCACGTGTCATGGGACAGTCCGCGATAAGGCAAGCCTTGGGACACCTTCCTCCAACTCCAGCATCTGTTTCAACTCATGTCACTGCTGAGCCGCGTTTTTCATTACCAACAAATACAAAGCTACTAGAAAAGGTCGGTTCGTAAGTCAAAATTGCTAGAAAAAATTAAGAATTCTTCAACTCAGCAATGAGTAAGATGGTCCTGATTCGGTGATTCATATTTTAAGAAATTAGTGCGGACGTTTCGTTGAGCTCTTAGAATTAAATGCAAATAAGTTCTAATAATTTTGACTACAGATTTCTGTTGGATCACTTTTTTGCTTGATATTTTCGTGATAAAAAACTTTGTTTGTTGTTTTCGTACTATCATGGTTTAATCTTACCACTTCTGATCGCTTTTGTCGTTAGGATGCAATGGAATCACTGATCAAAAGTGTTGATCCTCTAGAAGCGGTAGAAGATGATGTCGCTGATGCACTTGTACAGCTGGTTGAAGAATTTGTTGATGATTTGATAGAACAAACGGCACGGGTTGCTAAACACAGGTTGCGAATTGTAAATTTTTGTAGAGAACCAACGTAACAATCTCGTTTTCACTAGCCATTTTATGAAACTACTCTCAGGGTCTTAGTTCCTTAATTTTCTAACTTCACCGAATCTTGATTTATAGTTATATTTGAGAATCTATCTTGCAGAAATGCTCAAAATCTTGAAACAAAAGATGTGCAGTTCGTATTAGAAAGGCGGTACAAAATATTCTTGCCTCCAGGTTCCGTCGGTATTACTCAGTCAGCTGATTTCAATCCATACGTCAAATCGCCAGCTACTGAAGCACATCGGCAACGTATTTCGCTCATTAAAAAGGGTATTCAAAAACCTTGAAAGGTCAGGCACTTAGGATCAATGTTTTATGAACTTTTGTTTAAGTAGTTCTTTTCTCTATGGCAGTGCGATTGATTTCGCTACTTTAATGTCGTTGTATTGTAACCTGACCATTCTGCCTCTTGACAAAAAGCTTTCCTTAAATCATGTAAAGCTTAAGCTGCTCAAACCAAGTACAAGTGAGTTGTGGTTTAAGCAGTTATAGCTCTAGATTCAAACAAGGTTTCTATAAATCTTGCTACTTATTAGGATTTGTTGGGCCAAAAACTACTTTCACTTTGTAGAATTTGGAAACCTTAGTAATTGTATAGGACACTACACTTATTTCCAAGTAGACTGAGAAACGCTGGAGTCTCTCTAAAGTTAAACCGCAGATCTTTATCGTAAAAAAAGGTAGTACTCGTCCCTACTGTCAGAGATTTTACGGGACTATGACTGGCACTGATTGTGCTTGCAAATGACTGTGTTAAATCCTTACAAAACATCCACTAATGTAGTGTTCAGCTCGCCACAATGTTAGTAACATAAAGTCAGTGACTAGAATAATTTTGACTGGAGCATCCTCCTTCAATCCTTTACTAAATACCTTCACATTTACTTTTGGTTTTCTTTTAATCTTAATGATGCCACACTGTCCTCACCTAATCTTTTATCATATTATGTATTCCTGGCTGTCGTCGACTTATGTGATACTTTCAGAACATTTTCCAGCTGTTTAGTTGTGAATTAGTCTCAACCTTCCATAATTTATATGTACAAATATGTAATTTACTCTACCCACGAATGCTTGTTGTTGTTCTCAAGATAGGCATCTGTGACCCCTTGAAGAACTTATTCTTAATTAATCCTAAGCATAAAGTGAGTGCAGTATAACTATGCTTCAAGAGCATTGAATTCACGCGAATTGGACAAAAACTCAATTGCTGATTTTAATTTGGTATGAAGCGATATAGATTAGAATGAGACCGATGAAGCGCGAACCTGCGACACTCTTCATAAACTCGCAAACAGGCTTATGAGTAGTGTTTACAGGATTGTGCGATATTTCGTTACATAGAGATATGACTTGACGTACTAAGCGAAGCCAGCTTGGAACATGGAGATCTGTCAACTTTAGTGAATGTAATTATCGTGTTATGCAAACATCCCGGTTCCAGTACAACAACCAACCACTTTTGATACATCTCATCCCTCTAAACGTTGCTTCTGCGCCTATTTACGTTTCATGCGCCACATCCCATCATTTGAACTCTGATAGCAATACATTTTCATGATCCGTTTAACAATGATGTTGAAAATATAATGCCTGAAAGGCATCGCGCTTGCGCCATTATATAGCAGTCACTATTGTGATATCCATATACGAAGGTATCTTCCATTTATGGTACAGCTTTATGGATTCAACAGCAAACCAAGCATTTTAGGTGTAGCTTGCATAGATATTAAGAATATGAATACAGATGTAAAGCTTATCAAGAAAAGCCCTTTAATTAAGACCAATATTGAACTGTCTATAACACTCATATAACAAATAAGAAAGCTTTTCCGAAAAACCCCAAAAACAAGTATCCCCGCACATATTAGATAAAACAAATAAGTTAATGTATGAAATATGAACGACACCAAAATTCATATAAGTAACAAGTGCTAGCTAAGTTTAGAAGCTATAGAAAGTAAGCTTTGCGGCAGCATCAGTAATAGAATTCAGAAATTTATTTTTGGCAGGGGAGATTTTGCTTCACTTAATTAGCACTGTGTTGCCAATAAGTTGAAATATGAAACTCAATCACGAGAAAACGAGTGAGATAAGTTATTTACAATGAAAGGAAACTATTTAGCATATTAACCTACTCGCAAAAAAAGAACAGCTTATTTACAATAAATATGAAGACATTGAGTTGTAATCTTATTCACAGAAGGTAGAACTAAAAAACCGATCACAGAAGCAGATATATCATGAGTGAGTAACGGTCAATAAATTGTTGAGACAAAATTATTAAAACAGTTACAGCTAAATATGTACAACGAACAACTTATATACTAATAAGTGCCGGTACAGTGGAAACTGAAAAAGGAACATGAAAGGTAAGCATTCACATGAGAAACTACATCGATATAAGATTCTATCACATGAATGAATCAATAACCAGGGAAGTACGCTGATACTTTTGCAGTAGACTTGAAAATATGGACAGTATTATAAGTTGAAAAAATTTCAAAATCTATAGTACACGTTTCACTTAAAACGAGAGGAACACTGAAATAAACACTCTAAATAAAGACAAGCAGTCAAATTTTTAACACTGTCCGTATTTTCTATACTACACGCTTTACATAAAACGAGAGAAACACTGAAATAAACACTAGATAAAAACAATGACGAGCAAAAATGAATTTATAATTACTGATACTAAGCAATTATTATGTAACTTAATAAAACTTAAAAGAGTTATCCTCCCTTTTGTTTCGGTTCATATAAATCAAGCTCGAACTTTCATACAAAACATGGAACAATGCTATTGACCCTTTTTTTGCAAAAATCAATTGATAACGATAAAGCATTTACTTACAGCACAAAAATGACCAGCTCCTACGCTTCGATGCAGTAACTCAGCTACACAACGTAGTATGAAAAAGCGTCATGTTTAAATTTACATGAAAGAATGACTGTAAATAATAAAGTATACCATAATTAGGAAAATTAATATTCATGTATGCTAGACCAGTTATGAAGTAGACGACAAATTATGCTCCTTTATTAACTCCGGTTATCACTGCAGTCCAAATGTCAGAAAATATAATTTTGTATTAATAAACTTGCTTCCATTAATTCCCAACACATTAAAAAAAAGAGAAAGGGCGAAATTCCTGAATTTTTAATGTCTCTACTTTCAGTATTGCACACACTAAATTAAGTATGCTGTTCTCGAATATTCCCAATCCATAGTTTTTTTTCAAAATAATTTACCACGAAATATGAGAGAGCAAACAATTAAAACTGTATGAGAATAACATTGTATTCAAACCACCAGAAAATTATAATTTTTTGTGGTAAAATTTCATTTCTGACGAAAATGAATAATACCAAGATCGCAATACGTATTTATTGCTCTTCTCTTCTCTTCTCTTTTTTTTAAGAACAATTATTGTTCAGCCATACGCTAACTACACTAACAAAAATGAGGATGCAGCTACAGGGAAAATATGATTCAACTAAATGGTAGATTTTGCTAAGATCACTGAATTAGAGTGATTTCAATTACTGAAACCAGCAAAAGTTTAATTGCAATAAAACTCATATCCCTAAAACTACTTGCTAAAGCAGATTAGATTTTGGTCTCACGAACTTACGAATACGTCACTGCTTTTATACCTCAGCATTGTTTCACTGACAAGTTTGCTTTCGCTGAGCATATAATTAGTCGATCACACATCAGTTATCATTGTAGACAAAAATTACCAGTATCATTGAGAAGATAGCACATCAAACAATGAATTTTCTGAACTTTATGGCCCCCACTGGATCGCGTATGTTCAATGACCATAGAATGGTGGAAACGTAGCATTAAGCCTGCAAACATCAAAATGGATGAGAACACTGCATTTTAATAACCCTGATAGTCATTTCTAACTACATTAAAACAAACTCCACTCAGATGACTCGATCTTCATCAACATCATTACAGATTCCATAGTCATAAAGATTGATAAAATCTACTCACGTAGAAAACTCCATACTGGGAAATAAATTACGAATGTTGGCTTTGTTCGCATCATCAATTTCTCGCTTCATATCAACCATGGGTCGTACGACAGCACAACGAGCACTTGGTTTACGCACGACTCCGGTAGTTGTTGGCGGTATGAGTACAGATGAACTGCTGCTTAACAGGGATGAACTCATTGAACTCGCTATGCTGGTATTTTCATTACTTAACCTAAAATTATACATATGCACTGTTTATATATATATAGTGTATGGGAATCTCTCTAACCACCACTCCATCATGAATGGTCACTAAAATAGACGAATTTAAAATCCGAGACCTTGCTATAGAAATCATAAATGCAGCAAATGTTCAAAACAGATTTAATTGCAGTAATAGTGCTAATTTACAAGAAAATCGTGACCTAAAAGAATTTTCTTTCTAGTAAAAAATAGAAGAACATTTGATCTATATTTCACGTAAAACTAATTGTCAAGTAAATATGATCCAGTATCAGTTATATTATATAAGCAGCAATTACAAAAAATTGAAGATAGAGTTACTTAGAACTATGAGAAACATGAAACCATTCAAAGCAAATATTATGATTTTTCCACTTAAAAAAATGACGGAAATTGATTACTAACAATTAGTTGTAAAAACAGAAATAAAAAAGCTCAACTAGCGATTACAGTTTTCCAAATGTAATGAATTCGGTGGATGACATGAGCGCTTAAATAGCAATAAAATGCTAAAGTAAATAAAAATATTTTTGTTTAAACTTACACAGCGCTTTTTTGGTGAGGAAGCACATGACCTTAAAAGCACACAAATAACAAGAAAATATGCTTAGGAGAATTTTAGCAAAATCAAATGAAAGCATTACCGCGATGCTTCAAGCTGATACTGAGGTGTTTCTATGCCAGAAACCGCGCTGTTCATTCTTGGCCCAGCTGCTATAATTGCAGGATCTTTCGCAAGACCGTTTGTGCCTGACCTAATGCGTATGTTTGTAAGATTCGTATTTGTAGATAGACTTATATTACCGTTTGCAGTAGCTGCAGATGCCTGCCTTGCACGCATTTGTTGCTGCTGTACAAGATCATTCTAAAAATGTAGCGTATTATTATTAACATCAGTATTGTGACCCGACAGTACTCACAAGAAATTGAATCAAAATACTAGAAAAAGAATTAAAGTCATAAACGTACCCAAAAAAGAGTAGCGGGATCAGCCGAAGCTAAATCAGGATACTGTTTAATGTGAGGTGCTAAAAGATGTGAAAAAGGACTGCCTGCTGCTACAGCTGCAGCTAATGCAGCAACATTTCGTGTCGTTTGCAGCTGTGCTGGTAAGATGAATTCATTTGCAAAAAGAGCTGTTGTATTTGGAAGTGTCCATGGCATAAGCGAAGCTGTAGCAGCAGCTTGAGTCCAAGTTGTTGGAGCTGGTGGGAGGGCTTGTGTCGCCAACATGGGGCCATCTACAAATGGAATTGAAACGAGCTGTGGCACTAATGTCCCGGCTGCTGCATGCGGATTCATAAAACTAGCAATCGGAGCTTGGCGTGCAGCTTAAATCTTATGATATTCAAACAGTAATATGAAATAATATTAAAGAACAATGCAATAATAAGCTGTTAATGATTCCTTACGCTCAATTAAATTCAAGACCAAAAGCCAAAACATAAAATTCTAGCAGAGAAAAAATGCTATGCTAGTTGATTTCAGTACATCCGTCATATCTAATTACTACAATTATATAGTGCTCTGCTTTCCACCATTTTCTTCCAGAATAAGAAAGAAAAAACAAATTTGTATAATGAAGTCAATATTGAGAAGAATATAAATAATATTTGTTAATTAACATAAGCGCACCATAAGGATAGACTGTTAAAGGTTGATATACAAAAGGTAGACTGCCGTTTTGAGTACCAGCAACGGTTGCTGCAGCTGTAGCAGCACCATACTGACTCAATAAATGAGTAATTTCAGCCTGTTGTAGCTGCTGTATTTGTGGTATTGCAGAGGCCACATTCTGAGGTACTGTAGTGGCTACCGGAGCACTAATCATAGGAGCTGCAGCTGCAGACGTATGTGACGTTGTGGCAGTTGTACGGTGCATCAACAACTGTGAATGTGTTGCGTTGCGTCCATTACGATTGCAAACTTCCATTCTTTGATGAGCCACTTGATTGCTAAAGTGCAATAAAAAAAAGAAATAGACCGAAACAGAATATGCTTCTGAATCTTTAAAGATTTATGCAAGTTTAAATCAAAATGAAAGAGAACTTGGCTTTCACACATCAATTTTTAAAAGTTCATAAGTTGAACGACCTACGATAATAAATTTTAGAAGATGCAAGTACCATTTTTCGTATTTAAAAATACCTCGTAGCACTAGCAGGAAAAACATCTGAATGGTAACAGTAGCAGAAAATAAAAAACCACAAATAAGAATATTAAAACGAACTATTTTGTTGGACCATACACAAAAATATGTCCCAATGAAACGAAAGGATGCTGAAGGCCTTCGGCTGGTGTAATTCGTTTATCCTGGTCAATACTGAGCATTTTTTTCAAAATATCTACAAAATCAGCACGATCTATACGTTCACACTCTTTGTCGACTTCGTCTAAATCTGTAGGAATATTTACCTGAAAATATTTTACTTGAAACATGAAATTGAAATATTATTGAAGCAATTGATTGATGATGCTCACTAACAAAACATAAACATCAAAGAAATACACTATATACTGATACAACAACTATTTACTTACGTCCTCCTTATCCTAGGAAAACTCAACTATGACATAAATTTCTAAAATATGTGAACTAAAAAAATTTGCCTGCGAAATATCGTCCAGATTATTGAAAACATATTTTCGAGTCTCCTTAGATTTGCTCGATGTTTCCTGCTCATGTTCTTCCGGAGTTTTCAAGCGCCAGTAAGGTGCTACACCATTGTCGTGAATCTGAATTTTCGGCTTTAAAAACTACAAAAGTATGCATGAAACTTTAACTAAACTTCACATCACACGATAAACTATACGTTTCTAACATAGAGATCGAACTCAAGCACCTTCCACAGATAAAAACAGAATTTGAATACAATATACACGAACAAATTATGGAATTAATTCCTCTTCGCGTCAGAACTTGCTCACATGTCTTAAAAATTCAAGGAATTTATTCCAATCATATAGAATCATTACATGATAAAGCAAAAGAACTATTTTGATTCTCCAATAACATGAAACGATGTGAAAAGCCAGTTATCTTTACGACCTGCTTGAAGAATCGATGGGTTTTGGCAGCAGTTGACAGCATCTGCAGTGGTGGAGGTCCCTGAGTTTGAACAATATATCGCATTTGATCAAATTCACTGCTACCGGGATAAAGTGGCCAGCCAAGGTACAATTCTGCTATCACACAACCTAATGACCACATATCAATTGCTTCTCGAAAAGGCAAACCTAAGATTATTTCCGGAGCTCTGAAAATCAAACCATTTCCTCTATATGTCGATGTTATCATTAAAAAGCCATACTGTCCAAATGCAAAAATTACATGAAATCTGGAAACTTAAAAGACTTATATCTGTAAAACAGAAGGTTATAAACCGATAATAGCGTGATTGTAGGTAGGTATTTGTTACTGCCTTGCTTCTGTGTGATGCTGAGCCGAAATCAATAACTTTTACACGAAAAGGATGATTCGTTGGATCGACTAACATTATGTTTTCAGGTTTTAAATCAGCATGAATTAATCCAAGATGTTTTAGTTTCAGAAGAGCGGTAAGCACCTAAAATAAAACCCACAAAATTTTGAAAAAAAATAACAAAACCACACATGCATTAAATTGAATTAAATGTTTTGCTCTAACAAATAATTACTTGCAACAATACACATTAAGACACTATTGAAAGTAGCCAAACAATTTTTCACGTTTTTCCTTCCAGATTTTTTTAAACGAAGTGTTTAAAAAACCATAAAGATGAAGCAAGATATTGAAACCTCATAACATGTAAGAAACGTAGGGAATTAGCTTCGACAATCATCTAAGGAAATAATCCGATTTTACATTACCGATAAAATCACATTATAAAAATGAAATCTAAATGACACAGCAAAGACTAGGAGATCAACTGACCTGTTGTACAATTGGCCTGATGCTGGAAAGTGGTAAAGGATTGAACTTATTTTGTTTCAGGAAATCATATAAATTTTGCTCCAACATCTCAAACACTAAACAAGTGTGGTGCTTGTGTTGGAAGCATTCATAAGCACGAACAAAATTGAATTCTTCCGCATTTTCATTGCTCAGTCTTGATAAAATAGAAACCTGAAAAACTAGCTCTAAATTAGAACAGACTTTTTGATTCATAAAAAACTTTTAAATACCAATGGAAATAGATAGACTAGCTACAAATAAAGCAAGCATATGGATCATATGGATATTTTTAACGTTCCCATTCCGTTTTCTGAAATACATGTACAATAGGTCTGATGCTGGAAAGTGATAAAAGAGTGAAGATTAGGACACCTCAATCTGTCCCTGACGCGCATATGATGGATGTTTTTTGAGTATCTTAATTGCAACGATTTCATTTGTTCCTTTTTTCCATGCTTTAACAACTTGTCCAAACGTTCCTTTGCCCAAAAATTCTAACACTTCGTACTGATTTCGGTAGGGAGAGACGAGCACCTCATTTTTGATGAGCTATAAATGAATAGTGAAATAAACATTTCAGAGATTCAAATAAACATTCAAAAACTATGGCATAATGAATTATTCTCAAAACACTTTTTTAATCCCGCTAAAGAACAAGCAATTTCCCCTGTTACGATAAAAAACTCAGGAAACATGCTCTTGGCTCTTATAAATGAATGTGAAAATGATATTTAGGTCAATTCAGTTCTACTACGGCACTGTAATAGAAATAATTCTCTTCATCGATAAATGAAGTATAAAAATTAATAATCAACGTGGAAATGCAATGTAAAGGGAAAATTCTTCTTTAATAAATGAGAAGTTATTTCAGAATTTCTTTCGAGATGGATAAAATAAAAAACCTGGTATTCCCCTTCCGTACTGGGCTTTGTACGGGCGCCCGTCTTACTGTTGAATTGTTTGTTGTTACTCGTTTTGACTCCAGTTTTACTTACAGGCAATGAATTCACTACTTGTACCGGCAAATCAACCTACGATTAATTGGATTTAGAATTCAAAAAAACAGACAAAGTTGTGAAACTTAATGCTAGTGGATGCACTATGACAATGCACTTAATTACACGTAATACAGGGCATTTAATTACACGTAATACAGGCGCTACTCATAATTACCGCGATTCTTTGAATGTAAAAGTTGTAAGCAAGAAGAGGAATATTACTCAAACATATACAGTAGAAACGACAAAAAAATTACAAAGTTGGTTGTGAACAATCCATTGAAATATCAGAGATTGTTAGGATAGCTGAGGGAGTAAAAGCAAGTGACTATATAAGATAAACCTATATGAAAGGGATCACGAGCTATTTATGAAAAAGTACTAGTGTTGCTTCACTTGTCAACCTTTTAATAAACGGTTTTTCATCGAAAAGTTCAAGATAATAATAAATAAATGACGATTTAGTTGTTGTTGTACAGTAAGTTTCGAAAAATTGCACAAGTGAATATCGGATGCAATGTATAATGATTCTTGAGCAAAATGTTTGAAACTGAATATAAGTCGTTCTACTGCTGAAGCTGTCGTCGATGGTAAAATTATGCCTATCCAAAATCAGCAAACCTCTGTTTCATTCGCTTGCTCCACAGGTTTGCTCTTGGTAGGGGGATCGCGGTGGTCAGTCGTAATTGCGAACTTGTACTTTTGCTGTGTGTATAATTTCTGTAGCGGCTGCAAGTAACTCAAAGTTAACTGGATGGAAAACGTCTGAATCAAACGCTGTCAAATTCAGCAGGATTATTCGATTACTTACTGCAATATGGTCAAAAAGGTCGCGCAAGAAATGTAGCTAATCATTCAGAATGCGATAAACCAATATGTTTCATCAAATTATCAAAAACAAGCTCCTAGAATATCAATGCTCTCTAGCATTACTTGTCTCTAGCGTTTCGTATGTGACAATAAGCATGAATTTGAAATTATGAATGGAATTCTCTGAGAAGGGAAACAACACAGATGAACTTGTACTATAATACAATTCAAAACATAAAACGCTTCTTTGAAAACCAAAACAATATATAAGGCATACGTTTAGAGCAGTGTGAGAGAAGGAGAACACAAGTTAAATCCACACAGCGATTAAATAATATGTTCAAGCAACCACACTATATTAAGATACAAAATGCAGATAACCGTTCACAATGATTACATGCATTCAGTAAACACACACACCCACAATATTGTCATGAAACATAGCACACGAGAAGATGCTCCAATATAGCTGTAAAACCTGATCAGGCTCCTGAAGTCTAATATTAGCTAAACTAGTAGGGCAGTGCAAGATGTTGAGAACAAAGATTTCTTTAAACTAATTTACATCAATGGAATAACTGATTTAACCCATTTTACTGTACAAATGACACTATATAAATAACAGATTATATTGGACTCGGTATTTCAGCAGATCTGAATTGCTGCATATCTACAACCATTAGAGAACTGAAGTCATCCGTAATGCCTCCACAAAGTTATGGAAAATATCATGATAAATAACAAAACGGCCCTCGTATAAACAGAGTAATCGAATTGCAAAGCAAGTAAAAAATCTTACCGTTTGATTATTTGGTGAACTGGCCAAAGCTGGCATCAGTTGATGCTGTGGCTGCTGCTGTTCTTGATGCTGATTAAGCAGCTGTTGAAGCGGGGCGACAGAAGGCTGGCCCTCTGAATACTTACGCTTTCGGCGGCAAGCGTCTAGTGACTCGGGCATACCAAGGTAAACCCCACCGTAATTCCCGTTAAAATTTGTTGTCCCGTTGGATATTACAGATTCAATAATGGGATGCAATGCCAATTTGGACGTACACGTCTCTCTGTCCCCACAAAGAAACTTGGTTGTAAACACCTTTCTTCACTGCCTAACTAACGACACACTACTGCGTGTTTAAACACACGCACGCACACCTAAGAAAACATGTAAATACACACACGCACCCAGACGCATACAACATATAATTTGATAACGGCAGTTTCTCAGCGTAGTTTTGCAGCCAGTATTTTACCCTTCACGTCAAGTTCACGAGAACAAGCGTACTAGACGCGTTGCAAGTGTCGCGATTAATGAATGAGTCACGTGAAGGTGAAAGTAAGCAGTTGCAGCAGTAATACAAGTCACCTTTGGTATTTGGCCACCCGCAAGGGTTGCACTGGCTGCATAGCGGTAACTGCACATTATTACTTGCAATGCATTTCTTAGTATTATTGCTTCGCTGCCTGTCTATTTTCTATAATAATAAAGGCACGTTCTCCATCACAAACCAATCAATTCTTTCTCTTCTCCAGTACTAATGGCAAAGCGTTTTAATGGAATAAAAGAGTACCATAGTAGAAAGAGTAGAAGTGAGACGAGAGTGGGGTTGCAGAATGCTGCAAAGCAGCGCCACACAGTTCATTATTTCGAATCGATGCAAACTGCAGTAGTATTCAAAGACAAGAACGAACAAATGGTTGTAAATAAATTAATTAATTAATTAATTAATAAGTAAATGAATGAATAAATAAATAATGAATTGGTGAGCAGTATGGACAAAAAGGATAGCAAAGTAGCCAGATTGCGAGGAGTAGGAAAGCAATACAATTAATTACCTCAGTACAATAATGGTAGCATTTTGGCTAGTCCACTAATTAATCGACTATGAACTTCGAGGAACTTCAAAGGCTACCATTGCGAGTACGTGACTTCATACTGCACAACTCCTAATCTTAGTACCCCAAATACGAATCATTTTGTGGTAGTAGCATCTGAATCTTCAATTTGCTCAGTACTGCTATTTTATTCCAACTATCGCAATTGTGCTACTAATGTTGTGGATAGCAGCAGTTTGCACTCTGTGCCTCATTTCAGCCTTGTCCTAGCATGAGGTCATTGAAAATGGGATGTCTGACTGAGTGTACGTAGGAGCGCCTTGCTGGCGTGGGCATCTCTTGATGATACTTCATAGCTTATTTCTTAATAGTGAGGCAAATGAGTTGAGGCTTCGCTATCTGCTAGAATTTTACTTTTGACATCTTTCGTGAAATTGGTCAGGCATTTCACTTCCCTTTACGACTGTCTCATGAAAAGAGCCTTTGGATTTGTCGCCAAACATCTCATTTTTATTGCCTTTTTGCTTGACTGATGCGTTTAATTGAAAACAAAAGTACAAGGTCATGAATTTCCAATAATTTATAATCCAGACATTGTTCTTGTTTCTGTTAGAAGTGGTGACTCTCATTTTTCTTTAATTGCTGCAGAACTAGTAAGATAGACCAAGTTTAAACTATGTATTATCTTTTAAGTCCACTTTGTATTATTCTTGAATAAAGTCCGACAGAGTTAATCTGAAATGCACTCAGCTCCGGTTACCTAATTCATTAATTTCTTAGTATTCTTCTCTTACTACAGTTTTTTTTCAACGCAGGTTCTTTTGCTATCGTCTTTTATTCATTTTTACTTCATGCCTGAATTACATGTGCTTGAATCCAATTAGTCTTGTAATTGTGTTATAAGCTTCTAGTTAATATTTGGCATATTCAAGGGTACTATAAAATTTCAAAGCTTTTTGGTTCTAAATACTCATGAAATATATATTAGTTCGATTTTCAACCTTAAACACATTGATTTACTGGTGGGTAAAATATATTTGGTGTATGAAATATACATCAAAATTTAAAAGTTTTGCTGCTCTTTTATGAAATATGATCGTCACTTTCGCAAACAGGAAGTATGTAAAGGGTGATTTGATATTCCAATTTACTAATAGTAAAAGTAATTAGTTGGTTGAATTCATCAGTGGATATCAAATTGACAAGAAATAAATTGTAAATAAAAACCAGTGTGGTCGCCATTTTAGAATTGCTTTAAAAATCACCCTATTGTTCTAATTTCTGCATTTTGAAGGTATGATCTTAATTTAGGTTCCTCATTTCTGTAGATCGTTTTGTTTAGTCCATTTGTTTAATTCCTAAGTTACTAATAATTAGTTGTACTACGGCAGTTACTAAGTTCCACATTTGGTATTATTAATAACAAGATTACTGGAATGAAGTGAAATTCGGTTTGTCGCAATTTGAATATACACGTGTAGTACGTGACTTTTGTGAACATCAACAAGTAACGCAGAGGATTGATCTTCTGATCACTACTCATGCACATCAGATAAAAGATGTTACATGCAGGAAGAATTTCCGTACTCAGCTACAGTTTGGGCTTTCTACCGCTTCATTATAACGTTCGCCAAACCTTGTGCACTCGTCAATAACTTTATTTCTTCACGCAAAAATTTGACTAGAAACCTTTGTAGCAATTTTCACTTGCTGCATACTGAAAATATGAGTAGTATAATAATAATATGAATTAGTGCAGGAAAATGATGATTCGCAGCTTTTAAATGTACTGCAGTTCTTCTTTCTTTGAATGGCTACGGGTTCATAACTTTAATAACTTTCCTCTGAATGTCATGGACTTTCTAATATCAAAACAGAAGGACGAACTTTTGTTGCATTTAAATTCTAAGTTCATTCATACTTTATTAGAAAACGGACTTCCAAATAATGCTCATGAAAACGATAATTCACAGCAGTTTATTAACAAACAAATACATAAACATATAGCAAATAAGGATATCTAAACGCCACTGGTTATTATAGAGCTGGTTATATTTGTGCATTGTGTAATTTGGATTCCGGTAACCAAGAATTCTCCGTAGAGTCTCAAATGTTTGGAGAAGCCGATATTTCAATGGACAGTTTTCCCGAACTTCTTTAATCAGAATCTGATCAAGAAAAATTAAGAGCACCGCAGTCATCAATGCCGCAAACTAATTTTACATGAAGGTACTTCGCTGGGAAAATCGCATACACCAAGTATGGAATTAAAAACAGTTTGTTTGGGACAGGAGAGCTTTTCCAGCTTACCCCACACACAACGATAATATACCGAACAATCTTCATTATCTGCCAGAATGTCGCCGTGAGATTTTCCCTGACAGTCCAGATCCAGCAATGATGAAGACTCACCTTTAACAAATTTTGTTTTCTACGTGGTTTTAACTTCTTTTAGAAATCTCCTAGATCTTTTTTACGCAAAATTAATCACTTGTCAAAATGACATACCATTCTCGACTTTCAAAGACATATTATGACATTCGGGTACATTTCTTTTATAGTCACAACCACCAGCTATCTCGTTGAAAACTAGCCCATAATCACATGGTAAGTACTCAAATACTTCTTTCCCGAAACACTGTAATAGGTAATTGTTCCCCTGTTTAAAAAATTACTTACAGTTATTTCGCAAAGAATTAAAAATCACGCAGAATAATGTGACCTGCAAGATCCTGGTACAATCCCTGGGGTGTCGATATATACCATCCTTCCGATCCATACAAAAGTCTCCGGTATTATTCATCTTTATATTTGTTGGTACAACGGTTTCTTCCTGACATTTGTAGTTTAGTGAACGTTCCATGTATGTACTGATCCCAGAAGCTGTTTTTGTATACTTAAAACAGCTTCTGGGAATCAATACACCCTAAGACGAGCAGTTATTTTTACTTCAGATAATTGCAAAATTTTAGGATAAGTTTACTTTTTCGCGTGCAAGATATGGAGCTGAGCAAGGACTAGTGTTTTTCGGAACATCATCCGACACACTACATCTCACTTCGTTCGCATTCGTTCTTTCGTTGACATTATTAGGTATTCCACAAACTTTAGCAAGTACGCATCGTTCAGCATCATCATCAAACAAAAAACCATTTGCACAATATGCCTGGAAAATAATAGGGATGCAAGCCTATAAACGAACAGCTACCGCAATCTTAGATTTGCATTCCTTGCTAAGCGTATTATTGAGCAAGCTATATGATTCCTTATTCATCATTCACCTTATGAACTGTACTGTTATTGAAACAAGTGATATATTCCTTATGGCAACGCTGGGAGGATATCACATGGTTTCGCGAAGCAAGACATCGCATCTGCATAGCACCATTTAAAGACCCAATTGTTCGCAAATCTGCGATACGAATACTCGAGACTGGAGTATCTTCGAAATGCGATGGTCCTGAGAAATTTTGTGACTTGTGAAGCTAGGCTAAAAAATATTCAGAGAAGTTGCTAACAGAGATTACCGTACGACTTCTTTACATAAGAAGTGGTGTACCCACGGCAAGCATCAACATTTTCAGCGTAGTCACAGCGATTGGTTTCAACGTTATATATCAGATTGTGCTGGCAGATAAATAAGTGATCTACACCATAAGCACAAAGAACAAATTTGGCGGAACAACCCTTGGATATCACACCGCTGAATCCTTTCTCACATCTTCGTTTAGATGCTTGAAATGAGCGTAGTTACGCGCACAATCAAGTGAAAGTATCTAGTGAATATCAAAGGAAAATTTTAATTTGAAAATCTGTACGCTCATTGATTTTCACTTACAATTTTCGAGATAGGATGCTTGAGTAGCAATAAAACTTGTATTTTGAAGCACCCCATTAGCGGTTGTTAATGGTGGGAAATGACTGTGAGCAGGATGAACAGCTCCATGACATGATGAGATATATTCCTGTTGGTCGCAAAATCCTGTTTCTGGATTAAATATTAATGTATTCTGACAAACAAATCCAGTTATTTGTCCAGCTGAAAGAATTGAAAAAGCATTAGGACCGAAATGTACTTATTTTCAAAGTCTTGTAAACTTTGAGGCTAACCAGAACAAATGAAAAAGAGTGGTGAGCACAGTGAACCATATACTCCATCTGGAGAATTTCCACAATCGAAAGTGGAAACATGGGATGAAACGTCTGATAAATCAACTGAAGTGTACGGCATACCTCCTAGCAAAAAATATGCATTTTGTTAAAGACCCCAAACAAAGTTCTGTTTGAACTGAAAAATACTGCTCAAAAGAATCATATAGAAACTTCAATTTGCAGTTTTCGGAAATGTTTTCAGCCATGTAGTAAACTTCGACAGAAGAAGTAAAAAACTGCTAAAGAATATCACACCAAATTCTGAAGTTGAGAATGAAGACATAATTTCATTGGCAACCGAAACTGTCCTTTCTGTTACATTTTCATTGTTGCACTTCGAATTGAATTCTCTCTTATTACATGAACCCGTTATCTGTAAGTTAGCTCTTTTCAATAATAAAGGAGTAGCTTCTCGTCAATAAATGTATAAGTCGTCTCACAAATGAATAATTTTATGCAATAGATTTTTAATCACTATGCCTGATCGAAGACAAGATCATCATCGCAGCTAAATATATATGCAGTGCCGCCAGCACAAACGATGAAAGTGGGCGAACATCCAAGAGACACGGTACTATTAACTGAACAGGCAAAATTGGGTAAGATAGAAGGGACTTCATACACCGCATGTTCTGTCGTCAATCTCATTTGCATCGACGTGCTTCCTAAATGTGTCTGATCTGTGTATAGCCATGATGAAAATATTTATTTTGCTTACCATTGCAAGCTTGTGTTTTAATTACGTGGTCTTGTATTCGAAATGGGACGAAATAGTTTCCCAAGTAGTGATGGACTCTATCATACCTGTAGAAAGTCGTTCGTAGGTTGTAGCCTTTCTGCAACTTGCATTTTGTTCCTTATAGTCACACTGATTTTTGTTTCCATCATAAAAGAGTCCATCAGGGCAGCTTCTTAGTATTGCTCGTTTAGAAATGCACGAAATAAAATGTTGATTGCATCCCGGAAGTGCATATATACCATCAGATAACAACGAGCATATTGTTTCTGAAATGAAACTATCTTCTACTATGATGGAATACTTGATAATTGTACTTTTATGATGTACCACAAATCTTTAGTTATAGCTTTGTCATATACGGAAATATTTGCGTTTAAAAACTACAACTAGCAAATTTTTTTCAAAAGTAAATTAATCGTCATTCATTTAGTATAACTTTCACATGTAAAACAAAAAAAATTTTCATAATTGAAAGCAACAATTTCTGTAACAATGTCCTACCTTCATTTGCTGCGCGCTTAGAATATACTCCTCTCATTTTGCAGTCAAACGCAGGCACACATTTTTTTAATTTGTCATCGAACAGATCATCGCTTTTGCACTTCAGAATAAAACTTGTATACAGCTGTAAATTTATCCATAAATTATTTAGATCTTGAATTTTTTTTTCGTTTGATATCTGTGGTCGGGAATACAAGCATAAGGATAGATGGATGCTTTATCACCTGATTTCCACAGTGAATGTAATGTGACTGGCAGAATCCCAGTGCAATATTAATCGGGAACGACTGGTTGTGACAAAGCCTTGAACTGTTGAACGACAAATCAATCTGTAACGGAACGAAAATTCTAATATTTGGCGGTGATACAAGGAGTCCAATATGACAAGGGCTAATTAACACAGATTTTCAACCTTTAATGCGGACCGAGAAAATTTCGTTTTGAATGCGTCACGTTTTGTGCGATTCGTTGCTTCCACAACAGAATCAATTAATACTGCAAATGAATTGTCATCTTCACCGCTTCCTGAAAGAATGCAACTTTTTTTTTTTCGCCAAAAATGTCTCGGAACATTAAGCAATATAATACGTAAGCGCATATATACTGCAAAACTTTTTTTCCATTGATTCCTACCTTCTACATTATCTATCATTACTTTTCCGCTCGCTGCTTCATTGATTTCTCTAATTGTTGAATTAAGTCTGAAACAGTATGTTCAAGTCAAAGACTTCATATTCAACTTTGTCGTTGCTTATTGTTCAGTAAAAATATGCTTACATAGGAGATTGAAGATCCAAAGATGAATGGATCGGAAAAACATACTGCAAGTTGTTTGGTGGATGGAAGTGATCGATGACTCCCACATTCATCTCTTTCTATAAAATTATGTACTGAAATGTTTTGTCAGATATAAAAAGTAGAATTATTTTGGAAAGGCATGCAAATCTTTACTTACTAGAAGAGGAGTATATCCATACGATAATGGATTGGTACGAAAAGTATCTTTTATGAGCCTTCGTCGGTTAGGTAAGCTATTAAAAATCCTCGATGCAGGTTTGAATGCTGCTAACTGTGGATTATATTTAACAATATTTAAATCAGGTAATGATGGAGTCGTTTCTGAAGCAGTCATAACACTTGATGGAAATGTTTTCAGCATACCAAACGTCACTGGATCTAGTAACATTAAATTTATATAATTTGCACCATAAATAATTGAAAAGAGCTATAAATTCGATTATTTCACGTATTCCTTACTTTTACTCATTTTAGTTATGATCAAGTCTTTGTGTGGCCGTACCAACGTGTGTTGTTTCGGGTCACGTTGATCGATGAAGATACTTCGTAGCTGTGGATTTAACGACGGTGGAGCTTGAAATGAATCAGATACATGCTGAAAAGAAGAGCTTTAATAATGAACCTTTATCACAATGAAGTAGAAAATTACGTATGCGTTCGTAAGAAAGGAAAACATGAGCATACAAAGAACGCAGGGAAAAGAAATATTTTAGATTCCTTTCTAGAATCGAAGCATTCTGGCACTTCTTTTTGAAACCGACATATACTCTGCGCTGTATCAAAACGTTTACCCTGGAAATAAATTAAACATTCATATTGAATAATTGACGTTTGTCGCACCTGTACTATTTTAGGAATTTCTTGCCAGTACTTTTCAAAAAATTAATCTTCAGAAATGATTACCTTTTCACAGCGCTTGATTTCAAAAGACTTCATCATGCTGCACTTCAAATAAGTGTCCATACATGGTCCACGGGGAACTATTTCACCAGGATTGCAAGTAGTAACAGTGGTCTGATCAGTGTCGTAACTGGTATCACTACACTCACAGAAATCACATTTGATGCCACACATTCCACGTGAAGCGTTAAAAAAATGATCATTTGGACATTTAATATAAATGAGTTCGTTGTTTGAACATTTATAATAGTAGTCTTTGCATTTACCTGCCTCGTAATTCTGACCTTCAGTGCACCGAACCTATAAAGTATACACTGACTTTCAAGTCGTAATCACTAATGACAACATTCCAAATTACCTCGTCACGATCTGAAGCGACGCATTTATCCTTCGGTATGCATTTATTACCAAATTTGTCAAAAACTTCTTCTAATTTGCATCTTTTCAAGGATGTTACTTGTTGTGAACACTCAAAGTATGTAGGAGCACAATGTTCCCCATAATTGCCATCCGTTTTATTAGTGCAAGTAAAGTTATCTAAATGGATTTCTTTGACAAAAAAACTGAGTTAGTATTTGACTCTTATTTTGTATTTAGTCGGAGAGATTCTTGAAAAAATATATACCACCAGAACTTATCCGAGGAGAATCGTCCTTGGTTGCTTTAAACTTCCCTAAATAAGTTATACCAATGAATCCTGCACCACAATGATTTTTTATCTCACACTCGGAAGGATGAACACATCTTAAAGCAGTGGGAGAAAATACATGTCTTTGCAAGCAACGACGAATCGTCTGGACACCATGGTAACAGAAAACAATTTCATTCCAGCAGTCAATCCCATACAAGCCATTAGTGAGTTTGTCACATTTGACTGAATCTGCAAATCCAGCTTTAAACTACTGCTGCAGCGATTAGAGTTATTGCGAGAGATTGTTTAGTTTTTGTAGAGAAAAGTTTGGTGAGGACGAACCGACTCTATTATTTAATACTTGTGGTATGCAAACATGTCGGTCTATTTTCCTGTTTTCACTGTCTGTTTTTATCGGTCCTCGCTGCTTGTGGTCTGAAAAACATTTATCTTGAAGTCACATTATATATAAAGTATTTTTTCTTCAAATAAATCTAATTCCATTGATATTTTCTATTCTGAAAAACTAACCATGACATAAACATTTTTCGAGAAAACCAACCTTGTTGCAAGTTTACATCAGTTTGTAGTGTGCTTGGTATTAAATTCTCACAAACTTCATGATATGTACATTGTTGTGAACGCGAATCAAAAACCATGTGAAGTGGGCAGCTTTTTGTAATTGTTTTGCCATCAACACATACTGAGTAAGTGCTCGAGCATTCAGAGGTATAATGCTCATCTTGAGAATTGCTGCATTTTGCTTCTGAATTTTGAGAAGTCACTGTTATCACTGAAGAGCTTCCAAGACTAGTGAAATCTGTAAAAATCGATTTTTCTTTCATTTTACATGTAATGAACTTTTACAATAGGACAAGAAAACAAAAACAAAAAGACAAAAAAAACATTACTTTCTGCTTGATTGGTCCTGTTTGATGGAAAAAATGAAATCAGTATTCGATACAACCAAAATGCACATTCTTCATAAGATACACAACGATGCAGTACATTCGAAAACACCATTGTTTCCGGACATTTTCCAATTAATCCAGAGCCCCCTGTACATATTATAAAATTGGCCACACAGCCCGCCGAATAATTACCATCCGCCAACTGCCGGCAGTATCGCGGGAACCACTTCATATCTACAATAACCGCGAGAAGCATAGTTCAGATTAAAGAATTCAAGCAGAAATTCATTAGTAAGTGGAAAGGAAATTTTTTCATAAGCTCTATATTTCAAGCACTCGAACGAAGATTTTTAGCTTTCCTTACTATCTGCAGTGAGATCCAAATTTCCATCAATTTTCGTATTCAAATGCTTGCTCATATAAAATTTAGGCGGTAGAAAGGATGATTCTCTTCTACAAATTGATTTTGGGACACAAGCAACAACACTGCCATCAAATACCATATTGTCTTGACAATATTCCACTGACAATTTCTGAAAGACACAGATTACTTACAACTTTTAGAACTGAAGAAGTGAAACATTACTAATTCAAGATCAAACCTACATAAACAAACCGCTATTACTACTGCATTATCTTTATGTAAATCTAAAAATTCAAACGTTATTTCTGAACGACATAAAAGTAAACCTCCTTATAGCATTTATAATAGGCATTTAAGCATGAATCCATTATGTACGCTTTATCTCTTCTGCCTTTACATGATAATGCTAGAGGCAGAGTTTCACTTTCTCCTGACTGCCTTTCCTCGGACAAAACTCTTCTTGATTGATTCTTCGATAAAATATTTTCAGACATGGTAGTATAATCGCGACATTGAGGTATGCTTTCTGGATATTCACAACGATTTATTGTGGCATCATACACAAGTGCTCCGGGGCAAGACAGTAATATTTTCGACATATTCTAGAATAATAACTTATTGAAAAAATGTTAGGTGCTATCAATTATTCAAAGTTTAACTGAAATACTTACAACGCAAGCGAAGAAGACATTAGAACACAATCTATCTTCATAATGTCCATCAAGCCTGCCATTACAAACGTTTCTGTCATCTGCTTGGCTATCTTTAATTTTCATAGTACTGTCAAGTGAATTTATGTTTCTCATTGATGAAAATAACACAGCTCTTGAAGTCGTTATTTGAGTGCAGTTTTCGACTTCCATATCTGTTCGACACTGTCGAAATTTACTGTCGTAAACCATTTCATTTGGGCAGGTAAATTGAAACATTATCCCTTTCACACAAACATAAAAATTTCCCGAACAAACATATGAAAAAATTCCATCTGATTTGGTGGCACACTGCTTTTCTGCAATTTAATGATTTGAAACCGACGCTACTTTTCAAAGTTCATCATGATGCTTGCATGATAATACAAAACGTATGGAGGAACACTTGGTGAATCATAAACTTTTCACCTAATTTACCTGACTCATTCTTGGACAACTGAATGTCTTCGTTACACGCGGCAACGTTACCCCTCAGGTCACACTGGGAGTTCTGAGGATTGAAAACCAAAAAACGTGGGCAGCTAGCTAAACTAATAGCACCATCTTCACAATAAATGTAACTATCCAAGCAAAAGGCAAGTTGATGAGGACCATTTGGAAGAGATGAACAACTTGGCAGAGGTCCTTTATGACTGTCCATTAGTACTAACTGTTTTCCTATACTTGTCGAGTTTCTAAAATTATATCATAAATGATGCAGCTAAAGAGGGTAACCAATATTATTATACTTTTACTGCCACAGACCTGCAAGCTTCAACATAGTTCATCTCCTTGCAGGATTCACTCAAAACATCAAAAACAAGATCTGGTGGGCAACTCATATAGAACGTTTCACTATTTGCACAGCCATAATAAAGTTTACTACAACCTTCAGCATAGAAACCATCTTTCAGTTCTTTACATCTCAAAATACTATCTGAAAATCAGTAGTCCATTTCTTCAAGAATAAGAAATAAATTAAAAGTATGTGCTCAAATATGCAGTAAATCGGCAATTTATGACAAATTTTAATCCGTAGTATATAGAGATTTAAAGGATGAAAATCACAGTACCGTTAACAGGAATAATCGTAAGTCGATATTTCGATTTATAACTTTTTACTGGGAATTTTTCGACATATTCCGAGCAGCCGTAAACATTTTCTCTGTAAATGAGATTGAGATGATCTAAACACTATTCCTGTTTCAGACATGTCTTTAATTACATGCAACATGTTCTTACTTGAAATCACATCGCTGAAGAGAAGGATTAAAAACTAAGTCAAATGCACATTTTGCGAAAGACGTAGCGCCTCGCCAGCAGTGATAATAACCAGTACCGCAAGGTGATAAACCATAAATACCATCACCTAAGATAGCACATCCAGAAACTACATCAGAAGCAATTCCTTCCCTTAAAAAATTTCAAATTATGAGAAACAGAATATTGAGATAGTAATGCCAAAAATGAGATAAGCTTTGGCTCACTCCTTCTTATCAAATGTTTGAACAGCTGATTGTCCATCACATGCTGCAACATTTCTGGGGTAATCGCAAAAACCTCCATCAGGATTAAAAACCAGATCATTTGGACATTCGAATCCTGTTGAGATACCATTCGAGCATGAATAAAATTTTTCGGTACATCCCACTGAATAGAGACCATCTTTACGCCCTTCACAACGACAGTCTGCAAAATAGCTTTGGTTTTCATATAATTCACACTTCAAATCACAAGCTGTAAGGAAATATGATTATAAACAGAAATTCTTTTCCACAGTCTTACATGCTTTCGTTTTTTCTACGGAATTGAATAGCAATAGCGATACCTGGACGATTGAGTAAAAATGGTAGTTTATTCCATTTTTGTTGACTTTTGTATTGCGGACAGCTTTCAATATTGAACATAGAGTCACACTGTCTTGTGAGTCTATTAAATGCATGACCTAGCTTGCACGAGGAATTACTTCCTACTCCTGAATGTAGTTATGCAAGGTAACGGAATTTCTTTTTGAAACTTTAAGCTGAACTTTTTCAGGTATTTATGCCTGTTTAAATAAAATTGAAGGACTTAAAAGTTAGAGGTGGAGCCTCAAAGTAAATAAAAAATCGCAACAAACAGCATAATCAAAAGTACTTAGAACTGACCACGAGAACAAACCAAATAAGTTTTTTCACAGTCTCCCAGGGCATAGATTCCATCAGGTAGAGAACATGAGAAAGAAGATCTAAATTTAATAACGATTGCGAGGAAGTTGAGTATTTCAATGCTCAAATCAAAACTTTCTAATTGAATAAATGTAGTTAAAGCTTACTTGGTGGATTGATTGATAGGTTCGTTTCCAGATTCTGCACAAAACGGTAAATCGGCTTTACTTATGCATCGATCGTGTTCGGGAGAAAATAAATACCCATTGCGACAAGTGACGATCAAACCTTTCTTATCGATGCAAAAAAGATACTTTTCATAACAATTTCTGATTGCATGCTTGCCATTTTTTTTCTCCTGGCAACTACTTTGCTTCTTATTTAAATTTATCATTTTTTGGGCGATGTCTGCAAGATTTTTCGTAAATTAAAAAGCTAAATTGTGAATGCAAGAGTGTCGCTTTTGCCTTCAACATTAGGCCCATCCATTTAATCGATCTGATTTTGAAAGTGAAATAAATTTGTTAAACCCATGCATCTCTTCTAATTTAATATGTTTGAATCACCCCGTTTCAATCCAGCTTTTCCAGTTCGCGCGCATTTCTCAACATTGTATATTTCTTCACACTGTCCTTTCTGTGCATTAAACACAAGACCTGAACTGCAAGAAGCAATTCTTCCTGATTCTGAAGTAGTGACACTTTATTATACATTGACTTCTCCGCTCGCTATGAACCCTCTTGCAATTTTCAAACAACTATGTCTGAGAAAGAAAAAACGTAAAAAATGAAGCAGTGAAAACAACAAATTCAATATTTTATTTCTTACTCGCTGAATCTACATGTTTTTTGTTAACAAGTATAAAAGAATAATGGTATATATTCGGCTAGCTGTGAATCTCGATAAACAAAGCAACAGTAATGCATCACCAACCGTTTCGACAAATTATAAACATTTTTTGACACTCTCCCAATGAATATGTTCCATCAGAAAGCGAAAAACATGAAATAAGGTGCCTAAAACAAAATATCGATAATTAGATAAACTTCCTTCGAAAATTTGAAAATTGGTTTAATAAAAACTTCGACGCACTTGGCAGTTTTGATTCTTCCCGTATACTTGGATTTTACACAAGATAATAATTCGTCCCTCTCCATGCAACGATGGTGTTTAGCAGAAAACAACTGCCCACGTCGACACTTGACAACCAACCCCATGCCACTAGCACAAAAAACATATTTTCTGTAACATTCCTTAATAGCATACTTGCCATCTTTGCGTTTTTCACAAACGTTTTTCTTCCCTTTTGATTTAACCATCAGTTGAATGATTCCTGGAATAAGTACGTCAAAATTTTAAAGTATTTTTGGAACGGAAAATTGGACGTTTCAACATGGAAATTAGCATCCCCAAGCTTCAAAAACTTACGCCCTTTTATCCTTTTAATCGATTCAAGGTTACTTTTTTCTGGAAGGACCACCTTACTTACTTGATTTTCATCGATACCTTTACATGCAGATATATTTTCTTTGAAGTCGCACTAAAGAAAGAAAGTTCAAAAAATGTTTGTATTACCTACATAACGAAAATTATTTGGTCTAATAAATATTATTCATCCCTTTTGAGAATGAGGCCTAGTTAATTTTTACAAAATGATCAAACTTACTTCCATGTTTTTAATGTTAAAGTAGCGATATTTGGGGCACATAGATAGAAATACTGTTTCACCGACACAAAACCAAAATACATTAGAGCAGCCATTTATATATAAACCATCATGCATTCCGGTGCAGTCATACTTTACTGTAAACTCCTTTACTTCAGAAGTCAACGGCAACAAACAGATAAAAGTATATAATTTGCTTACAGTACTGATCAGACTGCATATTATCCACCGTACTTCTATTAAAAAGAGAAAAATTTATTTTAAATTTGAAATTTAAGAATAAAATTTCAAGTTGCAAAACAGTTACGTTGACAATAAGGTATTTTAGTTTTCTGCTCACATCGACCTTCATCATTGTTCCAATATAAGCCCTTATCGCAGAATATCTGCTTCAACTCTTCCTGATAACATGACAAATACCACTGTTCACAAGGTGCGGCCTATTTAAACAAGATTATATTATTGAGCTGCATTTCTGACCCAGAAAAAATTGATTTTAATGTGTAGGTAGAGTCGTGAAAATATAACTTACTCGATAAACTCCATTTTTTTGTCCGACGCATACAGATGGCTCAGTTTCTTCTCTCATTTCTACTTGGGCATTTTTTGTTTTTTTTGGAGTAAATGATGCAGGAGTACTATTATCCTTATAGTGAAAGTGTTCTTTGTCATCATTTTCATCATCAAACATCCACACCTTATGTCCATCCTCTGAGTAATCGGTATTGTATTTCTCTGTTTCTAAGACACCAGATTTCTTTCTGAGCCGCTCTGTCAGATAATCGTCATAACTCGGAATTCCAATTTTGTTGTCACGTCTGACAGCATTTTCACTTCCAAAGTCTTGCAAAATATTCCCTAACCAATGAACAACCCTAGAATAAATCATTTCAATAATAATTTTGATTTAATGCGTGACTTCATTTATCGCATTAACTGATATGTAGTGAACACAATTTTATAGAATTATTACAAATTTGTTTGATATACTAACAATTTTCAATGAATAAAACAGGAAAATAAATGAATTCCAAACTATTCATATGAAGGTCTTGGCATTCGTACCGCTACATTTTGTAATGACAAATAAGGGAATTATTTTCTCACAAAAATAGAATTCAGTGTAATTACTGACCGCACATCATCCTCTAATCCTGTTTTTGAGTTTGTAGTGTCAAGTTGATGATCTGATATTGGTGCATGCCTCCAAAATTTTGCTCGCCGCAAACTTGCATTCATTTCTTCCACTTCTAAATGATTTTCAAAGCACATACTTGGCTCATAGTATAATTAATTTTTATATGATAAATTTGTCTTATAAGACAGGAATTTCTGCGCAATAAGAATAAATAATTAAGTTGGTGCAGTATGTGGGAACTACGATTAAACTTAAATTTAAGAGATGACAATGATTTTAACGTTGATTTCAAAACAACGTTAGCAACAATTGATGAAACTCATTGTATTTTATAGCTCGTAAAAATGAATGGATAAGCAAAAAAGTAGATTAAGGTGTTAAAAATACAAATTCCTGAAGCATTACTTACTTTTCACATTCTTACACGTCACGTAACTGAAAGCTAGGGCCATAAAAGCTACAGAAAGTGTCAAATTTTGTATATTCATTTTCTTATTTTATACCACGGCAATAAAAATTCTGTAAAGAATTTAATTTAGAAAATAAATTCAAGGAAATCAGCTTGAATCCTACTCCTCTTCCACACATCTTCACTAGTAATCTAAAATAGTTCCGAAGATAAATGGAGTCTTTTTATAATTATACCAATATATAGATATATGTCTACACTTATAATCAAGTTGCTACAATTTTTGAGATAAAAGTAGATAAAAAGTTGCTGAGACAAGACATTATGGCATGGCAAATATTCAATAAGGAACATCTTTATTTCTGGGTAATATATACAAATGTCATATAAATGCACAATGTCGCATTACATATTCATCTTCTATATCATAGTATATTATTTTTAACCAAAAAAAGATGAATAAACGCTAAATATCAGAGATTAAATGCTTAGAATGTATCTAGGAAGCTCATCAAAAATGTAACTTATTTACGTACCTACCTCATACATAAAACAATTTATACAAAAAAACATAAAAATTTACTTTGTTGCTTTCATAATGGAACTTACATCTACAATTTTCGAACTGACACAATTATACGTATGTTCCTTTGTTAGTAATTACCTGAAACATTGGCTAGTCATTTTAAGTTTCATTATTTTTCGAAAAGTATATTTTCATAAAATTACTCCATTCCCACTCGTAATTTCAGGCATCCACGTTGTTCTAGCCATTACAACTCATTACGGATTTGAAGATATAATTCATAAAATCTCAGTGATTAATTCTGATCCTTCCACATTTAATGATTACTCAAATATACTGATTTTCATTTCATCTTCATACTTCAATGTTTAGTCTGAGCAAGTGCCTTTATCGATACTTTTCTTAAGATTTTCACAGCTTACTGCTACTTACATTGCAAATATTATATCAATGCTCTACATTAATTCACTCATTAATTTTACAATCAAATGCAGAACACAAAATATCCTAATTTTCATTTCATCTTCATTTGGAGTACTGAACAATGCATTATTTTTGAGCAAGACGTATTTTGCAAATTTTCATTGAATCATTATATCTTTAGTATATTAATCGTTTAGATTAATATAATTTTTAATGTGAGTAGTCTGCATTGATATAATATTTTTTCCCACAAATGATCTATTAAAACAGTCGGTAACCACATGAATGGTTTCTTCTTCAGGCGTAGTAAAGTTGGTGGTTAATTCTTTATTCAGTTTTTCAAAAATTTTCCACGGAAATACTTTCATGAAACGTCGAAAGTGTCAGTTTTTGAATTTGTTCAAAAGAGGGGTAGTCGCCATTGACAAAGAACAAGTTCCCTATGCTGTTACGATAAATCAGTGTATAATTGGCTTCATTTAAGGAAGGAACCATGTGCTGCAGAAGGGTAAAATGAAATGTCAATGATTGTACCAATATTCAAGCCTTATTATTACATAAAACAGGTAAACTGATTTTTTCATTTTTGATATAAGCAATCATCTGAAAATGCTAGTTAATAAGCAAATTAAATTTTCATGTGGCTATTATAAAAATGGTGTAAGGTTATAAAGTTTAGAAGAGAAATCCCATAATTTTTTGTTATTAATCGTGTTTAGGACTGTATTATTATCAGTGATACTTACATCTGCTTACTATTAGTTGCAAAACAAATCGATTCTGAAAATCATGTGGCTTTCAGTGCTTAAAGATAAGAAATCCAAATACATTCTCATTACAGCATTTTACATATGCTAGTTATTAACAAAAATATATTGAATTATTAATGTATTTACTGAGATTTATTTTATTCAGTTTTTCATTGTTGTCATTTTCCAAGTTCCCAACAGTTCATAATAGATATTACTAATCTAGCATCAAAGTCGAGAATTTTGTACTGATTTGAAAAAGAGCACGTGCAAGCAGTTAGGACTGATTCACTTCCAGTTGAAAAAAATTCATTTTACTGCATTTAATGAACATAACAAAAGCTTTTAAATACGATCTAGGTATTTGCAAATAATATAAAATCCCTGTGAACAAAGTATAAACGTGATCTGAAAAATCGCAATAGAGTGAGCGGAAAGTAAAAGTTCTAATTACTTTTTTATTTCCTTTGAATTCTCCTTAATACTAAATTTTATCTTTGTTATGTAATAATTCGCTCTTCCTATATACTGTTAACAAAAAATATTAAATTAGTATGAACGTAGAAACCGTAAGCATTTTCTTCTGTGATATTAGAGTTGTTATTTGATGAAACCACTTGAACAACTAATTGGCTTTCATCGGTCCCCGATCCCTTGACAGAGCAGTCCTCCGCAACTGTCTATAATATTTGGTTTAAGCAGCTTATTTTCCTGCAACAAGTTGCAGTAAAGCAACTGTGATAAAAATGACTTCATTTTAAAAAATGAGTTGTTGATGAACGAAAAATATACAATTTCTTTATAAGCGCACAATAAAACATTAAATACAATGTGGACAAGTGTCAGAACTATCAGCACATTTTCCTTTAGTTTCAGAGTTTAGAGTTGATAAATATTGACGTCCGCGATAAACGCTGCCGTAATAGTCCCATTTCTCATCACAACCAGCTAACCAATTCAACTATTCGGAGCACCTGCATGCTGACATCCTTATTTATTGCTAAAAAAGATTTTGAATTTTGGAACTAACGTCAGAAGGTTATTATGAATTATATAACCTTCCTACTTCCTTATTTTCCATAATTATTTTTTCCATGCAATACTTTCTTTTTCCTTTCACAATCTGAGAAAGCAGTGCTGAGTAAATAAAAAAAATTTTTGATAAATTTTAGACCTTATAATTGTTTTTCAACATTTTCAAAAAGTAAGCAAAATTATCGATGATAATTAAAAACGAAGTAAATGTTCATAAAATAATAATAATAATAATGATAAATGATACTACTAATAATACATTATAACAATAATACAGTATGATAATGAAAATCACTTCTGCTGATATCATCTGCATTTTATGCATAAAAAGCAAGATTGGACACAAATAGAAAAATTATGTAGATGCTGAAGAAATACACAAATTATTAAAGAAGTACATAAAATACTTGAAAGGGAAGGAAATAGAAAAGAAATTTGCATACATTAGGAAGTAGCTGCAAGCTCATATAAAGCTTTGAATTATAACCTGCCATTCATTGTCATAGACAAAGTTTCACTTCAAGGCTGCTTCCTCGCTCTTCAGTAATAGTTATCACGATGTATGCAGAAGGGGAAAGTGGTTTTATCAGTGACAGTACAGAAGACATCAATCGAGCAACTAGTTGCGTTAGTAACAGCACCAGTCATTCTCGAGATTCCAATGCGCTGGATGGCTCATCGCTGCTGCCCGCAATTCGAGATTACGCCTCAGGAACATTTGTAGTTGCTGAGCAGTGTAGCAGTGCTAGGTGGATAAACTGCTTACATCTTAACTTCATTTCTTCCTCACATTAACTCATAAATGCACTTTCCCTACCACAAAGTCTGAATTTTACATTACAGTGAGTATGAAATTCTAGACCTTAAGTCACTATCATATTTCCCAGATATTTGAATGAGCTTGTGAAGGACATGCGCATGCTCGATTCTATCCAAGCCCAATATCCAGGGAAGTTTCGTCAAGCTCAGACGTTGCTCACCAAGGAAATTGACCGTGTCTGGAGTGACATATATTTGCACGCTGTGCAGGATTATCAAGTGCAGCCCGTTGATTCACAAAATGTAATTATTTTGTGGATATCATTGGAAAGTTTTCTTGACACATAATGTTATACATGTTAACATAATGCTATAACATATTTTTGATCAGCCGTTCTTGAAATGTTTGAAATGATTCTCAGTGAGAACGTCCATTATCAATTTCTTTGTACTAATGTCAAATTTCTATTATGGTAAACACTTTCTGTTTTATATTTGCTTTCTTGCAACTAAGATCAACTTAGAATGCGGTTGAACAGTTGTTCTCTATGTTATATTGTAGACAATAACTGGGTCAGTTACGACGATTCAAAAGAAAATAATGATTCCCCACCAACCAGAGTGCAAATTGATCGGGCGTATCCTTGGACCGCGTGGAATGTCGGTGAGGCAACTTGAAGCACAAAGTGATTGTCAAATTCTGATTCGTGGAAAAGGTTCTATAAAGGTTGTTCAAACACATGTTCCATAAAATTCTGATAGAAAAATTTGCTTTGCTTATAATATTCTATACAATAAGTAGGACAGAATAGACAAGCAAAGTTACAGTTTCAGGATCCACGTCGTGAGGCACGTCTTCGTCACCGTTTTGGTTGGGAACATCTGACGGAACCTCTTCATGTACTCGTTACGGCTACAGACATATCACGTGAACGCTGCACACAGAAACTTGCAAATGGTGTGCAAAAAATCAAAACGTTACTAAAAAGTAATAATGACGAGTATAAGCGTCTCCAACTGGTTCAACTTGCCATTATAAACGGTACATACCGTCCGATGAGAGCACAGAAATGACAAAAAAATGTGAAAACTTTATAAAAACAAAATTGATTTTTACGATATGCCTTCAAACTTTTTAAATTTTATTATACTAACCTTTCGCTACTTTTTTCTCATATGGCCCATATGTAGCTGACAATAATAATGAATGAAACATCAAGCGCACTTTATAATGTTTTATTCTCGCTGAATTTAGCAAAATATGTATATCAATAAAAATATCCATTTCGCCAACTTTTCATTCCAACATGATTATATTAGTTGAATACAGAAATTAGAGACTGTCATTTTTCATTCCTTCAACAGTTGCAAGTTTTTAAAAGCTTTAATTGACCATAATCGTCATTGTTTTTCAAATGCTTGACAATGAACAGTGCATTTTTGAAACATTATATTGGTTTTGATCACAGGCAAAATATGACTTGTAATCTTTTAATATTTAATATTTGGCAAAAAAGTAAGTCCAGTTTTAGGAAGCAAGAACCTTGGAGAATGGACAAAGAACATTAATTCTTTGTCTATTTTTAAATACACAAATAATGAAAAGTAGATTAGGCTCAGATTCATTTTCTTCATCAAATTGATTATAACCTAATAAAAAACGAACATGGAGTTACCACTTTAAAGAGCCTACAGATTTTGGATTGATATAACCATTATGCGCAGAAAGCATGCAGTCACATTGATCCGTGCAATTTTAAACCAGTAACAAAATATTTAAACGTTCTATGCTTGAAAATGTAGTTACACTAGCTGGTGGTACTTTATTGTGATTACTGTGTTAATGCCCGGAGAATTTCATGCAGTTATTAGCCATTACCTAAACCTTAAGATATCAAGATAATTACACCAAATAAAATTAAATATTTTGTCTAAAATTAGAGTTGGTTACTCAAAACTTGAATTAATGAGATATTTAAATGTTAACTCAAATGTACACCTAACCGATTTTGTTCTTTCTCTAACGCAGACATGTGTGCTACTGTGCTTAGAACTATCGATTGGATGTATGCCTCGACGTGGTCTGATATACTAATCTCCTTCGCATAGCGTTTTGGAAGTTCGCTACAATCTCATCCCAAATCATAACATACGGAATTAATTTGGTCCTGCATTTCATCTCTGACCCAAGCTAATTAGCAAGTAGATCATATCTTCTCTTTTTCTCGGTCTTGACTGCTGTTAACCTGTCCTGACTAGTGATGCCAACCTGAAGCGGTAATACTTCACGTCGCTTCTAATCGTGTATCACGATATT